TCCGGTTTACGATTTGAAAAATTTTAAAACCGTAGTGAACGGTTTGGTTACGGATTACTATTAATCCAGACTAAACCGGTCCGTGAACACCCCTAATGGCTGAATTTGGCTCTGCTAACCGTCGGTTGGCCCGCAACTCGCACCAACTCGTCTTGACCCAACCTGTTTCTAATCCGTGGTTATGCGGATTGGGTGCATCATGACCCACCTAACCCCTAACCCATCTTGACCCAACTCGCTACTGACCTAATGATGAAGGAGAAATGATAAATAATTAGGGTTTATTTTATGGTTATTTTGGTCATTTTACATTAGATTGGTTAGGGTTTTATTTTACTATTTTTTATTTAAATGGCCTAGCCGCCACCATTGTAACTTGGCTTTTGATTATTAAAATATTGAGAATTGTCTCAAACAAATCCAAGGTTTCATTATTGATCTTTGGTCCTTAAGATTTCGAGTATTCTTAGACTAAACGATTTCTTAAGTAGGTTATTTTCCGGGTATTTGTGTGCCGAATCAACGGATTTCAACAGTTCATTTTAGGGTTAATTGTTTGTTCTAGAGATTGGGCTTCCGCTACTGCATCAGTTGGTATCAGAGCTGAACAATCCTATTTGATCTATTGGTACGTTTCAGTTTATCTAAAATTTTTGGTTTCGGTGTTCTTGGTACTCAGGATATTTGAGATCAGTTTATTTTTGTTGTTGAACGGTCAATTTAGGAGGTGGGATAGATTGATTAATGTTTTTTATCGATCTGTTAGTGGTTTGTGCTTGTGGTTGTGCCAATTAGGCTTTTGAGATTGATTTATTGAATCAATTTGGTACTGATACTTGTGGAGAGGTCGAGAATTACTCAATTGTAATAATTGAACACAATATCAATTTGGTTCTTGATTGGTTACTTGGGCGACGACTTGTTTGGGGCGTTAACTCATTCGGGTTTTTGCAGTCCGCTGGAGAAGAACCACGGCTTCCGAAGATGGGTTTCGGAATTGAAGTGGCACGTGATAATATGCAGTCAATGGATATTCTTTGCTATAAAGTTTGTGACGATATTTTTAATCTCCAATTAGATTATGACCCATGGGAAAAACTGATTTGGATTGGAGTTTTCTGCCAATTTACGATGTTTACCCTGGCAACAAAAGCATCATCGAAACGGAGACCGTTACGGATCCTAGCTATAAATCTGTTTTCGCATTTTTTCTTGTTAGTGAAGAAGACAATCACGAGTCTTCAAATGATGTCGAAACTGTTGTAGATGAAAAGTGTTCCTTGGTAGAGGAGCTGTTGCCCTTCGAGGAGCTCCGGTTCAAAGTGTTGACTCATAATCCATTGACACATATGGATGTCTATTCTGATAGCATAGATAGGAGTCCTTCCTCAATCGTTCTCATTGGTGCTCATTATTTTCTTGTCATTCATTCTGCTGAAGGAACCCACCCTCATTTCGACCATTATTTGCATTCACATGAAGACAAAGGAGACATCTGTTTTGTGTTTGTTTCGGTGAAGGATGACAACTTGCCAGGTTCCCATATTTCCACTTCCAAAACCTCTTGGATCTGTCCACTTCTTCAAGTTCAGAACTTTAACATGAAGGATTTTCCCAAATTAACATTGCTTGTTTGGGCACCTTTTGATATTCAAAGTTCTTCTCTTGTTCCTGGTTTGCAGCTGATTCTTAACAGGATGATAAAGATGTTGTCATTTAGCGCTTTGAAAGATGGGCAATGCACCTTTCCATGGACGTTGTTATGGATTCTTTGTTCTACTGGGTTTCCATTTGATCCGAGAAAAGCTATCTCTAAAACTAGACGACGAGTTTTTCTCACCCCGAGAGAATGATGAAGGAGAGATGATAAATAATTAGGGTTTATTTTATGATTATTTTGGTCATTTTACGTTAGATTGGTTAGGGTTTTATTTTACTATTTTCTATTTAAATGGCGTAGCCGCCATCATTGTAACTTGGCTTTTCATTATTAAAATATTGAGAATTCTCTCAATCAAATCCAAGGTTTCATTGTTGATCTTTGGTCTTTAAGATTTTGGGTATTCTTAGACTAAACAATTTCTTAAGTAAATTATTTTTCGGGTATTCATGCGCCGAATCAACGGATTTCAACAAATCATTTTAGGGTTGATTGTTCGTTCTAAATATTGGGCTTCTGCTACTGCATCACCCAACCCGTCCAACTGCATGCCTATCTACATCCATGGTGGTGGATTTTTCAGATCTACTTTCTCCCTTATGGACCTCCAATATCTCAGTCAAATAGTCTTCAGAGCTAATGCCCTGACAGTTTTAGTTGAGTATATGCTTGTCCTTGAACATATTTTGCCAGTAGCTTATGAAGATTCACGGTTGCCCTTCAATGGGTTGTATTTATATCTTGTCCTGGGTTTTGGTATTCAAAATGGATACTGGATAAGTTTTGGAAATTGGTTTTTTTCATTGGTCTACCCACTAGTTAACCATGGACTACCTATACCCATCCAAATAGTTTTTTATCCAGACCCACCCAAACCCATTATCTTAACTTGATGGGTTTTCTTGGATTAAAAAAAAAACCATTGGATTTGGATGGGTATTAAACCCATGATTTTGTTGCCGGCCTAATCCAAAGAGCCAAAGGATTGGAAGATAATAATTTACTGTTTAAGTTATGGCAATTTATCACAATGCTGCAGAGATACATTAGAGCTCAGCTATAGGCATCTGTCTATCCATTTGAAGCCATGCCTTTTGTATTCCGCGACGTCTCAAGAAGATAAACAGATCTTGGTTAAGAGGTTGCTTTCTTTATGGATGGTCAAAGGATTTGTTACAAAAGTTGAGACAAAACGCTAATCAGATTTACTGAAGGGTACTTGAATGACTTAATTGAGAGAAGTTTAGTTATAGTTGTAAAAGAACACATTCATTGGTAGAATAAAAATGTGTCGTATTCATGACTTGCTTTATGAATTTTGTTTCTAGAAAAGCCAACATGAACACTTTATCCAATTCCTTGAAGGCGGTCGCAATGTATCGCCATAGAATCCACTGAGATCATGCATCTACCCTAATGCAGTGGACTTCTCTAAGTACTCAAAGATATTTTGCTTGGTTTACATTGTTTACTTTTTAGATACTCTAAACTTCAAGTGGCACAAGATTTCTCGTTAATGATGCAAATGTGCAGACTTCTCTGAGTGTTGGAGTTGGAACAAATTTTTTAGAGTTTGGTATTCCAAGTGAAATTGGAGAGCTTGTTGAGTTGTCCTCGGGGGCGGAGCCAAGCCCCAAAGTTGTGATTAGGCAAGATTTTTAGTTTTTTCTAATTTACTATGCTTACCCTTTTAGATTTTCAATTTAGGTGGGGCAAAAATTATATTTCATAAAAAAATTTAAATTTACAAGGGTAATTAGCACAAAAAAAAAATTTAGCTGAGGCAATTGCCCCACTAAATTTGTATGTAGCTCTGCCCCTGGTTGTTTTACCTTGCAAGTGGAGGCAATGTGTCGGAGATTCTTGCATCAATAGGTAACTTTTCTAATTTGGAAACTTTGATAATCATTGTAAGTTGCGGTGGCAACAATTTATCATTACCACAGAGTTTCTGGAATTTGCGAAAGTTAAAGCATGTTTCCTTATCCAAACGCAACTTTGAATTATGTATATTATGGTTGCTGAATTTCCAATGACAAATTTTGACAACACATCTAATTTATTAGATGAGTTAGAAAGGATTTCTGGTGCAACCATTCCTTATAATAGTGTGGAAAGAGTGCTAAAAATGTTTCTAAATCTTTTTGACCTGAGATTCAACTTTCCAGGTTAGATAATAATCATTGTAGAAATCTTGTCCAAATTGTAACTACCGACAATTTGACTCAAATAGTATCATTTCATGTCTACACACTTGACATTTTAGCAAATATATTATTGTGGACTTTAGTTTGTCGACAAACCTGAACAACTTGGCATTGAGAGGATTCAAATTGACTGATAGGTTTCTTTTAAGTATCGGTGAATTTTCAAACCTTGAAATCCATCAAATTATACAACATGGATTTCAAAAAGGACATGTGGAGAATGAAAGAACAGGGATTCTCCAAACTTAGAATCTTGAAGTTGGATTCCAATTCCCTTCGATGTTGTAGTGGTGATGATTATCAATGTGAGTGTCTTGAGAATTTGATTCTTCTTAGTTGCTGCGATTTAGAAGAGATGTCTTCTTGTTTGGAAAGCATTCTGATTCTTCAAATGTTTAAGGTCACTAATTGTTCTAATATGACAATAATGTTGGTGTAGAAGATTGAGGAAATATAAGTTGATTAAATTCATATCTGAAAACTATTATTTGTACAAACGTGCTTAAAATCAGATAACATTTGGTAATGTTTACATGATAAAGTAAGTGTAAGAATCTACTCGATTCATGTTTATGTACATCTTTTTTTTTTGGTATATTATGTATCCGGTGTCCGAAGTCATTAATGTTTATGTAGGTCTTTTTCATCTATTCAGGTTTTTATGTGTATTTTTCAAACTGAATTATACATTAAGAAATCAAGTAGATTCATAGGCAGCACCAAATTAGTGATGTGCATTCCAATGGTGTTTCACTACTTCAATTCAACCTTTTTTGTCGTGTTTTCCATTGTTGTAGTCCTACGTCCGTTACGAAGTGTAATTTGAAATTTTACATTTAGAGTACATAAAAATTGAAAGTCCAAACTGAACAACTATTTTAGGACATTGGAAATGTTAATAGCGTATTTTTTCTTTTTTCTTTTTAAAAAACGTAACTACACATATTTAACGCATAGCTTTCGATTAATTTAGAGCTAATTTATGTGAAAGCTCTACACCTAGGAAGGGTAAAAGAATTACTAATAAATACTAAGAGGGGGAAAAAAGGAATTAATGGATAACTTGAGGAGCAAATTCGTATATAACCAGAAGTGATCACAGTGAGTATAGAAAAGGGGAGTAGGGGACTACTATGTATAATAAGAGTCACAATTTGGTGGGAATTTTCAGAAGAGGGAGAGACCCGTTTGTAGAGATGAAGCGATTCTTCAAACCAGTTGAGAAAGATGGCTCTTCTAAGAAACCCAATCTCAATAATAATGTCACTTCTTCCTCCCCAATTTCATCTGCAAAAGAAGGTGACAATAATGATGCCGAATTCCCCAGTTCCGGTGATGGCAACCAGAGAGAAGAACCTTTGAAGTTCTTGACTTGGAACGCAAACAGTTTGCTTTTGAGAGTGAAAAACGATTGGCCTGAGTTTACCAAGTTCGTCGAGAACCTTGACCCTGATGTTATTGCCGTGCAGGTGATCAGCATTTCCCTTTTCTTTTTAATTTTTTTTTTATTATTATTATAGTTTCTTATCGGGACCTCTTGTTGCGTTTAAGAGTGGTTCGTTTGCTCATGGATTGTCTTTTTGGGTTTCTGTTATAGAATGATGGAGGGTTTTATTTACATTGGTTATGGAGCTTTGATGTTATGAAGGTTGATGCATGGTCCCCTGTGACGGCTGATAATTTTTTTTTTTCTTGTTTAACCCTTCTTTTAATTGGATGTTTAGAGATAAATGTAGAGATTAAGTGTTGAAAAGTGACGGCTAATCGTGTTCTGAATTTTGTGAAAATTGTTTTACCGGCTTTAGTTGTTTCCTATTAGTTATGGCTGAAGATGACAATATATCATTTGATTCGTGAGCAAATAGGTTCTTACTGGCTCTCGTGATCATTGGTCGTGTTCAAATATAAGCTTGGGGATAATGGTTTTGGTCGAACCTTCAAGCTGGCTTAATTTTTTAGGAAATTTTACAATTCATCATGGTGGATATTTGTCCATATCTTTGGTTTTTATCTTCCTTCTGTTGGATGTGAGTCCTGCAACTTTATTGTGCCTCACTAGGTGGTCATGTGTATAGAAGGAGGTGCGGCTAAAGTTGTTTTGTATTCTTGCATTGTAGCTGTGTGTTGCTACTTAGCTGGTTCATTTGCATACTAATTTGACTTTCAGAGCTCATAAGTTATTACTAAATTATGGCTAGCAGCTGTCTAAGTCAATTTCTAGGATGTCAGAATGTGCATCTTGCTTAGTACACTTAATCGAACCGAATTTGTGTCACACTCGAAATAAAAACATCAATTTGATCATGGTCATAGATTATGCAGAACATGGGATTTCTGGGCCTCATACTGATGCAGCACCAAATGTGGTGGTCGTAAATCAGTTCGTAGATGGTTTATTAGGGCAAAATGCAGCAGAAGAACTAAAAGGAAACAGGCAGCAAAACAGATAAAACAGTGGGAAACAAGAACAAAACCTAAGAATCACTCTTAGGGCCCTTTGGCATCACATCAAAGGAATCCTAGGCATCACACCAAGGGTTTTCGTTGCATCACACAAAGTAGAAAGCAAAGAGCTTTTCTCATCACATACATTACATCGGTGAACAATCAGTTAACAGATAGATCAGGAGTGGCCCCATGCTTTGGTTGAAATACAACAAAGAGTAAACTTTTTGAAACTTGAAGCTGCATAACTAAACGAATGTAAGATAAATGCTGCATTATTACATAAGATAAAAGATTCTGTTCGTAATTTGAAACAGGGATATTCACTCTGCTACTTTTGAGAAAATGCCTGTGGACATCTATTAATTGCGATGGTTCATTATTCGACTTACTTCTGAGTTGTGAATACATAGGTTCTCTGTATAGAGGTATATAAGTGTGTTCTCCATGTTTCTGTGGTTTATGATGTTCTCCTTTGTCATTTTGAAGGTGCTTATACAGTTATACTTGGTTTCTTTAGGTTTTTATGCTATCTAATATCAAGTGGTTGTAGGAAGTCAGGATGCCTGCTGCCGGTTCCAAGGGTAAACCCAAGAACCAAAGAGAGTTGAAAGATGACACAAGTGCTTCGCGCGATGAAAAGCAGGTATAATCACATTGACCAATACTACTATATATGTTCAACTTGGATGCTTATCGTTACAAATCTATCTTATGCAACGTTGGAGCCAATTATATTGCCCAGTTGCACGTAGGAATATTTTGGAGGTTGAACTTGATGGTTTCTCACGCAACAAATTTCTTATGTCAATACTATGTACAGAATATTCAATTGCAATCTTAAAATATGAAACTCTGACACATGTTCGAACTCTGGAAAGATGAGAATAATGCAAATAAATCTCACTTACGAGCAAGTATTTATTATTTCACTGTTTGAGGCCCTGTTTGATAAACCAATTCAGCACTTAAACTTATTAATTAAGTGCTTAATTGATCAGCACTGTTTGATAACACAATATCATAACCATTTAATTGATTAAGAACTTAACTAATTAAGGACTTAAATTCTAAGTGCATTTGATAACTCAAAGTAGGATGTCTTAATAAATTAAGTGCGTCTGAAATGCTAGTACAAATGTGAGTCTAAAAATAAGTGATAGGCCTATCAGTTATATCTGAACTGAATTCTTGAGACCATGTTTCTCCTATTTATTTACTTTTTTGTTTATACTTTTGATGTTTTTATCTTGAAACATTTTTATCAATCTTGATTTTTGGTTATAAATTAAAATTTATATAAATTATTTTTATTACATAAATATTTATTTTAATATAAAAATTAAAATAAAAAATGAAATCCATGATCAATACATATTTTCCGTAAAATATGATATTTTTTTATATTGATAAAGATGTGGAATTATTATTAACTGGTAAAATAATTACATAATAAAAATTAAATATTTTTATTACATAATTTTATAATAATACTATTATTTTTATTATCATAGTTTCATATAAATCAATTTTTTTTTCATAAAATTACATGTCGAGATACTTTAATAAATTTCATTGTTAAGACTTCAGATCTCAGATATTTTATTCAGTCTTCAAATTTTGATTTTTAACAAACAAGACAAACTTAATCAGTTCAGTACTTATGATTCAGTCTTCAGATTTCAGACTTCAGACCCAAATTAAGCTTTATCAAACGGGACTGTTATACAAATCTCTTTTCTTGACTGCCACCATCCTGTATGTGACATTATCCAGATTTACACTTGATATGTTCTATTGTCTAGGTATTTAACTTCTGACCAAAACTTTTTATTCTCATTACCTACTTCAATTTATAATTTATTTACCAACTCTGCCCTATCTAATGGTTAGCCCATCCAAGTGAAAATTTATCTGATGAATGATCTTCTGTTTCTGGACTGTTAAAGTATCTTTTTTACTTTCATTTTCATAGGTCATGATGCGTGCTCTGTCGAATCCAACATTCAGAAAGTACAATGTATGGTGGTCTCTTTCAGATTCAAAGTATGCTGGAACTGCACTTTTGATTAAGAAGTGCTTTGAACCGCAGAAGGTTTCTTTCTCTCTTGATAATACAGGTATGCTGGTATTATTCATTGCTCCTTAATCCTTGAAGAGGTTAATATATCTGTGGGGTTGTTTCAAACTGCATGTGTCATATTTTTGGAGTAAACATTTACAGTCATGAGTCAACATCTTAAAATGTGATGTAAAGTATCTTTACCTTTTTTGGTTGTAATTTGTTGTTACTTGGTGGAATGTGGTGATTAGAAAATGAGCTTTATTTATGTCTTTGTTGCTAGGTTCAAAGCATGAGCCAGATGGCCGTGTGATTTTGGCCGAATTTGATACATTTAGGTTACTGAATACCTATGTGCCCAACAACGGCTGGAAAGAAGAGGAATCCTCTTTTCAAAGGAGAAGAAAATGGGATAAGAGGATGCTAGAATTTGTAATACAAAACTCAGATAAACCTCTTATTTGGTGTGGTGATCTTAATGTGAGGTAACTTTCTTTCATTTGCAAAGTGTTTTCAGTATTATTTCATGGTAAAATAAAATAGGACTGGACTGGAAATCTCTGGTGCTCTATTTGTCTTCTTCTTTTCCAATACAAGAACAAATTGGTTCATTTCTTTCTCCTCTTTTGGGTTTAGTTTGGGATAACATGCAGAACAATAATAGTGATCACAGGTTGCATTCTCGTATATATTTTCTTGTTTTTTTTGTGCAATGATTTTCAGCATTAGGACTATGAGCGTATATGATTGATTTGACAAGCTTTGTCCCCTAAAGTTTCTTTACGTCTCCCCTGAACCCCTTTTCTTTGAATTACAGAATACTATATTTGCTCCTACTGTTTGTGAAACTCGTCAGAGCAAGTAATCTAAAACTTTACTTGAAAGGAACTAAAGGACTACTGCTGAAAACTGAATGGGACTACTGGTGGCAAATATTGAGTGTAGTTAAAATTTAGATGCATGTTTAAACATATGAGTTACAAGCATTTTCAACTTGTAACACCTAAGCTACACTTCTGTATTTTAAATTTTTTTTTTTTTGCCTTTGAAAACCCATATTGAACCCTCTGATCAAAACATCTGATGTTGATGATTTTAAGGATAAAAGGCACTGCTGAACCATGTAATGGGAACTTGCTTAAAGGAAAAGAATAATGCCCATGTTCATACAGTGACTTCCTTTATTTTTATTGCAAGAAAAAATTAACTGCAGTTGGTTTGGTTCCCTTTTTCCAATGTGACTTGTAAGTAACATGGATATCGGTAACCATATATAGATTTGGCTCTGAGACATGGTTGTTTCTTTCACTGATTCGGCTGGTTATTTCACGGTGTTATCGTATCGCCTGTTGAATACAGACAGATTCCTGTGGTTAGCTGCTATGTTTTTGACTTTTTCTTGGAAATTGTTTTGGATAACTATGTTATTGTTTTGCTCTTCCCCAGTCATGAAGATATAGATGTCAGTCATCCTGAATTTTTTGCCACAGCAAAACTCAATGGTTATATCCCTCCAAATAAAGAGGTAAAAACATTAAGGATGCTCTCCACATACCGATTTTATTTCCACCCCTATGGAACTATATGGTTTTGTTGATTTCTTCAGGAAGTTTTGAGTTCAACTTAAAGCAATATTGAGTTCCATTTGATTATACAGGATACAATATCTCTGGCCTTTAGGAAAAAGAAAATTAGCGAAAATGAATCGTGACCTAATTTTATATCTTAAACAGTGCAAATGTTAACAGATGCATTTCATCACCATTGCCAAGAATCATGTATATCAATTACTAAATTTTATCACTTCAACATTTAGGATTGGGACCAGAAGGTTCATGGAGTAGAAATCTTACAAAATTATGATGAATCAATATGAATGTCCCAAAAAAAAAATATGAATGTCCTGTCCTTGACTTTCAGATTGAATACTGAAGTAATACCCAGTAGGAACCAAATTCAGTCACCATTTTTGTATTTTTCTGTTACTACATTGCTCCAGTTTGCTACTGCTATTCTGCTCAACTCAAAAAGCTTTTGGATGTCATATTGTGTTGCTAAAGTTATGGTTGTTACAAAATTATGGTACAGGATTGTGGACAGCCTGGATTTACTGTAGCAGAGAGGAGGCGATTTGGTGATATACTAAAACAGTAAGCAAAACCATCTCATACATTTTTTAAACTGTTTACTACAGAACCTTCTTGCTGATCTTGTCATCCGTTGTCTTTGGGCCTCATCAGAAGAGATCAACTTATGGTGTAGATAAGGTGTCGCTCCCCCACGAATTTGGCATATTTACCCCTGATACAACTCTACTTCTGTAACTTATTGTTTCTATCAGTGTTTCACCCTTATATAAATTGACCAGCATCATTACTTGTAGGCTAGTTCTGAATGTTATCAAGTTCATGCTATGGTTGCTACATAAGAGACAAAAAATTCAAACTAGGCTTAGGAAAAGAAAAGAAATTGTGCTGTTACCTTGTTAATGCTGCTAATTGGTGTTTCAGAGGGAAGTTGGTTGATGCTTATAGATACCTGCACAAGGACAAAGACATGGATCGTGGGTTCTCATGGTCAGGCAATCCTATTGGAAAGTATGTTATCTGCCATTGGTCATGCGATTTTGTTTGTGAGAAAGAAAATATTGGAATTTAAAATAACAAGTAAATGGTCTGATCATGTTTTTTGTTATGATTATAATCTGGCCTGTTGTGGAGATCTTGTTTTTTGTCGCAGCTATTATAATCTGGCCTGTTTCGGAGAGAACTTTAATTTTTCTTGTTCTCTTCATTTTATACGTAAATTTTCTCTTGGTTCTTAACCTGAGTGATGTCATTCTTCTTAGGTATCGTGGAAAGAGGATGAGAATTGACTACTTCATTGTATCTGAAAAGCTTAAGGAGAGGATTGTTTCCTGCGAGATGCATGGGCACGGAATTGAATTAGATGGTAAATTATTAATTTTATTTCAATTGTTTGTGCTTGACTAAAAAGATTCACATAATATGAAATCTCGGTAATCCTTATTTACCTTAATTCCTTTTGAAAACAAAAAGTTTACCTAATTTATCTCTGCTTTTGAAATTAGGGCTTCGTGATAGATCGTTTTTGTCCTTTTTTACGGCTTTTGGAATGAGTTGCTTTGTTTCCTTACGAAGCCAATATGTATAGAAAGTTAAAATCATTATCCTCTACCACTTTATTGTCGAATGGGTGACATATATCAGTTTCGAAACTATGACTTCATGACGGATCATTTTTGTCCTTTATACGGCTTTTGGAATGAATTGCTTTGGTTTCCTTAAGAAGCCAACATGTATAGAAAGTTATAATCATTTTCTTCTACCACTTTACTGTCGAATGGGTAACATACATCAGTTTTGACCTTCACCCCTGTCTTGCACCTAGCGACAAGTACACAAAAGATATTGTACTGGAATAGTGTTAGTCTGCTGCTTATGTCTTAAATTAGGTTTTTCATATTAGAAATAGATGTAAATTTTAAGCTTGACACTATGCTAGTTTATGGCACAAATCAATGGAATCATTTAGTGCTGTTAGAAACATGCTCAAAAGTGAACCTAGCTAAGATTCTTCCTAAGAGCTTGTTAGTCATGTGGGGAGGGAAACTGGGGTTTTGGTAGGGGAAGGGAGTTGGAATTGTTTTGTGTTGGGGAGTTTTAAACAGATATTTACAAGCATTTTAACTGTTTTTCAACTTGTTTCTAGCAGGATTTTATGGGAGTGACCACTGTCCGATATCCCTTGAACTATCTTCAGCCATTGCCAAAGCGGACGAGGAAGCGTAATTTTTAGTTTTAATGTCAAGATGGTAGGATAATGTTCATGTTAAATGTGTTAGTGATGATTCTAACTGATTAGTAGTAGATTAATGAAGATCATTCATGATTACTTAATCTTTGTCATCTGTTGTGATTCAGTCTATTCAGGAAAAAAAAAAAAAAAAAGATTATGCATTTCCTCAAATGATGTCTATTTTATAGCTAAAACGATATTATTTTATTGTGAGACATGATGGATGTCTGTGCGTTCGTATATAACAAATTCAACAGTTGCTCCTCTTCCAAAAAGAGTAAAAAAAAAAAAGAGTACCTATTTAAATGTGCAATTAGGCCAAACTTAGGCTAAATCTTTGCCTTCGGTCATAAGAAGTAAGATTTAAAAAATAAATAAAAATTCCACCCCCAACAAAACCGTCCGCCCTTTTATAAGTTCATCACGACCCGGTAGATCAAGGATTTTTATTTCAATATGTTTGGATGGAATAACATCATACATAGTACACTGAATCATCTTTTCGAGAGATAGGTGTTAAACTGTTAATGATCACCATATCTGAACTAATATTTATTGCATTAATTAATTAGGTTTTTTTTTCTTCTTGGTATTAAATAAGGATATGGTATTGGTCCATACTAAATTTTTTTTAATAATATGGATGAATTTGTTAATCGAGATACGATTTATCTATCTCTATTATGGAACCAGAACATCTTTTAAGATCAGCTTCAGTTTTATTTTCCTTTTTTGGTGGCTAATTTGCAAAAAATCTTGTTGAGTGGGAGATTGACTTTTGCTAGAATGTCAGCTAACTTCTAGGTAAAAGGTCAAAGTCCTCAAGCACAATTCTTATATAGTAGACCATGATCTTGTACATGAAAAATTATTCCATACAACAAGTGTATTCTCTTTTTTAGTGCAGTAACACACCGTAAAATATTATGGCTCTCGTAATTTTGTGTAACTTTCTTATAAAAATTACAATCTTACTTATTTATGTGTCTGGCTGCACAATCTTACGTGGTACAACAGCTTGATTTTCTCTCTGTACACCATGCTTCCTAATTTGTTTGCTTACACGCGCAAGAGGAAAATTAGGAAGAAAGAGAAAACAGAAAATTAGTTTTAGAGAGTAAAAATAGAGATTTTTCTGTTTAATTTTGATATATATAGTTCAAATCAATCTTCCAAAAGGAGATTAAACTCATTCAGATCTCACTAAACCTTCTTCTTCTTAAACTCAAACTCCATCATCCACACCTAATGAATATGGAGAAAGCTTTGATTGTCGAAGTTTTTTTCGGCACCATTGTTGTCTCAATGTCATCGGAATGATTAACAATGGAGAAACAAAAGGTTTCTTTTTTTTCTTCTTCTTCTTTTTTTATTTTCTTCTGCGTTCGGTGTTGTTTTAAAATAAAGTTTATAAACAAACGCAAATTTCTTTACATTATTGTTATTAATGGTTCTAATTCACTTGGTGTTTTTAATTCCAAATTATACATAAATTTATCTTGCAATTTGTTTTTTCATATATTAATAACACAATGTTCATACATTTTTTTGTTGTTGTTTATAGTCTGATTAGATTTACTAATAATAAATAATATTAAGTAGGGTTTTTTCATCATATATTTTATTATAGGATCGGTCATACATGTAAATTATCTCTATTTTCTAATGCACTATCTCTTGCCTTAATGACAAAAGTTGGCATATTTGTCCATCACTTTTTTTCGTGCTTATAAAATTTCAAATTGCATTTTTTACTGAATTTTTATATCATCATCATATTATTTTTTATGTAAAGGTTCATACAATTATTTTTTAGAATTCATACATATAATATTTATCGATCATAAACAATTTGTTAGTTTTATTTAGGCAAAGCTCATACCATTAATATTTTCATTTGTTTATAAGATAAATCTTTAGGGTTAGTATACAGAAACTTTAATAATCACGTACATTTTTAAGTTTAATCCCATGTGAAAGACTATAATGGTCATACATATAAACCATAATATAGATATCACAAAATTTTTTTTTTTTTTTTAAAGGGATCAATAGTGGTTCTCCACTTACCTGATGTGACTCGAACACGTGACCTATTAATCAACAAGTGAGGCGTCTTACTACTAAGCTGCACCTCGTTGTTTCCTTACAGAACTGTTATATGTATAAATTCTAAAAATTATTACAATTATAGTTTACGTACATACAATTCATTTTTGTGACATAGATGTTTATACCTTTCAGCTTTAGAATTTATACATATAAACTATACTGGTCGTACACATGTAACTTATTGTAAATGGAACTTGCATTTTGTTTTTTACACTAAACAATTAAAGTTATTCAAATGTTGTTACTTTTTTAAAAAATTTATTGAAACGGTTTTGTTCATACAATGATAACGTAATTCAACACCTAAACAAAAATATATGAAATGAAATAGTGCATTTTTTAAAATATGTTTATACATTATGTGTTCAATATTCATACACAATAGGTTTCATGTTCATATTCTTAATCGAAATGTAAATTTCATAGCAATTATATGTTTATACTATATATAGATAATGTTCATATATATTAATTTGGATGTTCATAACTTTATTTTTTTTATTAATTGTAATAGGTCGGATAATTTTTATTAATTGTAATAGGTCGATATCCGATGAAGGAGTAGTAGAAGAAGATGGAAAAAAGATGGATAGATTAGTAGCAGTATAGTTTATAGTAATTTTGAGGCTGAGAATGCGGGTTTGTTCAAATTTTAAATCAGAGATTTGAAGGGCACGAAAGATGATGAGAGAGAATATTTAAGTGTCCTTATTAGATAAATATTAATAAAAATAAGATAAAAGATAATTATAAAAAAAAAATTCTTACTAGTTGGGAGAGTGAACAACAGCTCCCTTTTTGGTTCACATTGCAAGATGGACCATTGTCTATGGTATAATTTATCCCTCAAGAAAGAGGTGTGATTAGGGAGAATGGTACTGTAAACATGCATAAATTTCGAATTATCCATTTCTTTTTCCTTTTGGCCCACCAATAAAAGGTTAAAATAAGACCAGTCAAGAACAAAAAGGAAAATGTCTCTTTCAAATACAATAATTGGTTACTATCGTATTTTGTACTCTTAAAAAAAATTATTTTTTTAGAGCACCCACAATGATTTATATTCTTGTGAATGTAATAAATTTGTAATGTGATCAATTTTTAATATTATACTTTTATTCAACTTTTTCATACATTGATTTATACTATATAATTGTAATAAAAATAAAATAACTAATTTAACATCATGAACTCAAATTAATTACGTGTTAACCACAAAACAATGTATTATAAAGTGCAAAAATTCTACAAATATACAAATTATTATACTATACATTAATAATAACATAATAAGATGGTTATATATTTGATATTTACCACCATTGTTGATACTTTTAGTCCAGTAAACCAAATAAAATAACCATTTAAGACAAATAATTACAGTTTAAACAATTATAGAAAAACAACTTATAATCAATTCACTATTTTATTTCTTGGTTGGCTTGAAGGGAAAGACTATAAACAAAGAAAAGATTGTCTAGAATAAATATACAATGTACTCCCTCCGATCTTTATTATAAGGCGTTTTATTTGTCCTAAGTTTCATTTAGGATGTCGTTTTAACTGAAAGAAAAACCTTAAATACATTTCCTAATAATTAGGAGAACACAACAAATGTAAAAATAATTTTTTAAGGATTTTTTTTTTCAATCAAAAATCCTCGGTGAAACTTAGGACAAAATCAAAATGGCTAATAATAAGGATCGGAGGTAGTATATTATACCACCAGTGTGATGAGAACATAAAACATTTGTTGTTTGAATGATGTTTTGCTGCTGAAATCTTGGAGGCTGTCAATAAATGGCTGGGTATATGACATTTGTCAAAAGAATGGAGAAGATAGAGAAGTGAGATAATGCATGTTTGGAAGAATTTTATTCTAAAGAGGAAAAAATTGTTCGCAGCAATAGCAGCTTTGATTTACTATCTATGGAAGGAGAGGAATGCTAGGTTATTTACTGAGATGGTGAGAACAAAAAAAACAACATGAAGTCTCTTATATACTGACGAAATATGTCAAAAGAAGTTTATCGATTCAGGAAACTAGAATTTTGAACGAAATTTGTTTTATTTAGCTTATAAGTGTAATGGGGTGATGACACTAAGTACTAACAACATTACTTTTGGTTGTAAATGAACATCATACTCAAAAATATATATATTTACATTTTCACAAAAAGAAAAACTAATAAACAATTTGTATAATATAGTTTGTCTTGCAATCTTTTTTACTTGTTTCTCAAATTAAGATTATAGAGAATAAAATCAGACATATTCCTAATCCTAAAACAAGTTATTACTCGATTTCAATGTGTGACTTCTTCTTCATTTCTTTTAAAGAACAAGAATAGTAATCAAGAAATTTCAATAACAAAAATTGCATATTTTTATGGCGTTTCAAGCAAGGATTATAAAATCCCGACTTTAAGTCTTAAAATCTATGATTTTACGACTTTAATGTACTGTATCGATTCTAAGTCTACTAGAATCTTTTTCTGTGTTAGAATTTTAAAATCTCGCTAGAATCTTTAAAATGGTTAAAATTTTACAATTCTATACGATTCGAAGATATTTCACTATTTGAGAGTTTTTGGGTCTTTTTTATTAAATTAAATTTGTGAGGCTAAATTTTGAGCCATAAAATTTTAATTTACAATTTAATATAGTGTAAAAATCACAAATTACTGATGAAATTAAAAAATTAACTACAAATCTACAATACTCATTAGTTTTAGTCTTTCACGGTTTCATTTACTCCACGTCGGGGAAAAAAAAAGAAGAAAAAAACACTGTTTCCTTCTCTGAAAAATCACCTTTCTATGATTGAGGATCTTATGATATTGATGAGGGTGTATCTCCTCATGACGAAAATCTTGTGAGATGAAACAACAGCTTCAATTTTTTGGTGCTGATGACTATATTGACGATGATGATGAATAATTTGGTTTTGAAATTGTTGTTCATTTCAAATATGGTTTTTTTTTAGTTTGGTTCTTTGAGGATGTATTTTGATGTTGGATTTTTAGGAGACAATGACAAAACTTGTACTTATATGTTTTAATTAAACTATTGGAGTTTGAAATTGTGCATTTACTTGTGATTTGAGACATTTGATTTTGTGTACATTTGTTTATCAAGTTGTAACTGCTGATACTAGTAGTACCTAAATTTAAGTAATTATATTTGAAAAAGCATAAATAAAAGCAATTTTTAAATTACATAAGTAATCTCTATCATAATAACTACTACCCCAACAAATTTAACAAACTTTTCTTAGAATTTTACGATTCTAAGTTATGATTCTACAGCTCGCGATTCTAACCCCAAAACGATTCTAGTTAGAATCCTGACACCACGAACCTTGGTTTCAAGCGTTAAAGGTATCGCTAAATTAATTATATTTGTATAATTATAATATTAAATTAATTATAATGTTATAAGAATATCACTATCATATCATTAGACCGTATTTTTAACCATCATGTTTCGTAATATAGGGCACTTAAGATCCAATATTCGATGGACTTCTAGTTACTTTTCATATTTTATTATCTGTTATTTGCTTTGCTTTCTGAACATATATTTTCAAGAATAAAATCAAACTACAACAAATTACATAATACGTTTCATTTTTAATCAATAAACCCTTCCGTTTGCCAATCTTTACCATCAGATATACTAATCACATGAATGTTTGTTTAGTTAAGAACCAAAATAATTAAGAAGTTATTATAGATAGGTGAAAATAATCTAAAAAAATTTGTAGTAACATGGTTTTTTTTTCCCCAAAATAACCAACACCATTTATGCAAAATATATTAATAATATGTGAAATATGACATACCCATATTGGATAACCACAACTGCTTACCTTACTAATAATATTTTAACATTTTTGACATAGAGATAAAACTTGAGTATTCTACACTAATTCATATGACATCACGTCACCGACTCTTCCTTTAGATAAATGAGTTTTCATTTCTTTTCTTACGAGATAAATGAGTTACTCCGACGAAATGCGGTTAATTTTAATGCAATTTTTTTAAAAAGTATCTCTGAAATCATCTATATACAAGGAAGCTGTTTTATTCTGATGTAGTAAAGTGTTAATCAATGAATACTTGTAAATAATTTCATTTGTGATTTTGGTAAAAACAAACATTACAAAAAAAAAAAAAAGGAAGATTAAATAATTCAAGGACATTGTTAGTAAGTTATTTTCTCCGTTCACTCTAAAAGATCTTTATTACTCCCTCTAAATGTTAAGACATTTTGATTTATCATAGATTTCACCTAATATGTATTTCTAATTAATAAAAAAAATGTTAAAAACACATTTTCGTATTCGTTGTGTTAAAGCGTACAAGATGAAATTTAAGACAAATCAAAATACTTTATAGTAAGGACCAGAGGGAGTATTAAACTGATTATTTTTCAGAGACAGATCCACGTATAATCAAAGCATCAACTAATGGTTTATATTCGAATAACTGTAAAATTTCACCTAATACGCATTTTTGATTGATAAAAAGTTTAAAAATACATTTTCGTATTCGTCGTGTTAAAGCGCACAAGGTGAAATTTAAGACAAATCAAAATACTTTATATTAAGAACCGGAGGGAGTATTAAACTGACTATTTTTCAGAGACAGATCCACGTATAATCAAAGTATCAACTAATAGTTTATATTCGACTAACAGTAAAATTTCATACATAATACGCATTTTTAATTGATAAAAAAAGTCCTAAAAACACATTTTCGTATTCTTTGTATTAATGCGTACTAAGTGAAATTTAAGACAAATTAAAATGTTTTATATTAACAACCAGAGGGAGTATAAAACTGACTATTTTCCAGAGACATACCTACTAAAACAAAGCATCAACCAATTGTTTATATTCGAATAACAGTAAAACTAACCCAAAAACCCATGTCATTTTCATTCCCTAAAGCCCAAAACCTCCAACAATAAAAAACCCCACTCACATGTTTTATTACTACTACTTAACACACACTCTCTCTCACACAGTCGCACACTCCTCACTCACTTCATTTTCACAATTTCTTTCCCCTTTGCTCTGCCTCTTCCATCCCAACCCTCCTCTGTTCCCTAAAAAAACAGAGCACACAGAAAAACCCCAAAACCAAAAACAAAAAAAAGGGGTAGTAGTAAATAATAATGAAAGAAAAGGTCATTCCTTCTCATCCTACTACTCTGCCAATTCATTTATTATTCCCAAAAGAAATATAAATATGTTAGAAAATGGGAGAATCTCAACAGCCCCTCTTCTTCTCCTCTGCTCTTCTTCCTTCTCTTTGTACGAAATAACCAACAATGCTCTAACCCTCTGAACCCTCAAACAGATCTCACATATACATACATGCAATTCCTCAAAAACCCACAAATAAAAATTCATGTATGTATGTGTGCGCGTGTTTTTTAGATTGAAAGATTCAATCTTTGACCATTTTTTTGTTCGGAGGATAAGGGGAAAAAGAAAACCCCTTTAATTTTATTTTTTTTTAGTTCAATGGCTTCAGAAACTTCCACCCCTGTTGCGAGTGGGGGTAACATTGAGGTTTTGTCATGGCTTCGGAATTTGCCTGTTGCTCCAGAGTACCACCCAACCCTAGCTGAATTTCAAGATCCAATTGCGTATATTTTTAAGATTGAAAAAGAGGCTTCCAAATATGGGATTTGTAAAATTGTTCCCCCTGTTCCTGCTCAATCCAAGAAGACCTTCCTTTCTAACCTTAACAAGTCCCTTTTGGCCAGGTCTTCCACTGGTTCACCCACATTCACCACTAGGCAGCAGCAGATCGGGTTTTGCCCCAGGAAGCATCACCCTGTTCAGAAACCCGTTTGGCAGAGCGGGGAGTACTATACCCTGCCAGAATTTGAGGCTAAGGCAAAAGGGTTTGAGAAGACTTATTTGAGAAAGTGTACTAAGAAGAATTTAACTGCTTTGGAGGTTGAAACCCTTTATTGGAAAGCTATTGTGGATAAGCCCTTCTCGGTTGAGTATGCTAATGATATGCCTGGCTCAGCATTTGCTGTGAGGAAGGCTAAGGCTGTGAGAGAGGGAGGTGGGGAGATCAATGCAAATGCGAGTATTGCTGAAACAGAGTGGAATATGAGAGGGGTTTCTAGGGCTAAAGGTTCTTTGTTGAAGTTTATGAAGGAGGAAATACCAGGTGTTACTTCACCAATGGTTTATGTTGCAATGATGTTTAGTTGGTTTGCTTGGCATGTCGAGGATCATGACTTGCATAGCTTGAATTACTTGCATACCGGTTCCGGAAAGACTTGGTATGGTGTACCTAGAGATGCTGCCTCTGCCTTTGAGGAGGTGATCAGGGCACATGGATATGGGGGAGAGATTAATCCTCTTGGTTAGTTTTTCTGTTTGAACACTAGTATTTATTTAAGCAAGATATGTTACAGTATCAATTTCCCTATTTTTTATCTTCTCTCTGTGTTTGCTTACCTTTATTTACTTAAGCTTTTTGACATCTTTCCAAGTCGTTTGAATGTATGTGCCTGTATCTAAACATCCAGATTACGATGCGCATCCAGAATAACAAACTCTAAAGCTAAACATCCAGATTATGGAACTTCTGGTTATGCATAATAGGCTTTCTTAAATTGGAACTTCGCTCGTGAGATAACATCTTTATTGCACTCTTTATCGCTTATTTTAGTAATGTTTTCTGCTTTATTACAAGAATTTTTTAATTTAATTTAATTTTATTTTGAAATTGTTTGCTAAACTCTGTTGACTGGAAGAACAGAGAGTTTCACTTCTGTTATTTTGTTCATGAAAACTTCTTACAGATGTGCATTGTATAACAGTATGATTTAGACCTGACTCGTCCATCCTCCAGAAACCCCACATATAGGAGCTTCTGTGCATGGGCTGCGCTTTGCTGTGAATGATGACCTAGAAGTTTATACTATTTTAGTGAATGAGGGATGAGAATGTGGTGAGCATGTTGAGATGGATGCATGGGCAGTCTAGATACTATAGGGTTAGACATGAAGGTATTAGAAAGAAAGTGGGTGTATTAGCAATAGATGAAAAGAGAGTTAATAATGTTGGATATGGTTTTGGCCATACGCGTAGGGTACATGTATGTATACCCCTATTAGATGAGTAGAAACTATAGAATCATAATCTCAGTTTAAAAGGGGAATGGAAGACCTTAAAAGACTTGGAGAAATTTTTCAAACGACATTTGATCTGTATAGCCTACACCACATATTGTGATAAAGGCTTCGAAGTAAATTAGAGAGCTTTTTCATATAGCCAATCTGGAAGACGCATGGATTAATGTTAGCAGATTCTTGGATAGAATTTCAGATTATTATACTTTTACTCAGAGCATTATCGCCGGGGTCATCAAAGACTGACAGTTACACATTGTGTTTCACTGGAACCTCTGGCCTAATGCAGTTCGACAGTAAAGAGTGTCTCCTTTACAGGTTTTGCAATTCTATCAGTGACTGGGTTACTGACCGATTGTAACACTTGTGGCAACTTCGATTGATACAATATGAATTCCTTTAGTGTGTTCCCTCTTTATGTAACAAAATGTATTTCACCTGAATCTGTTTCTTTCAGAAAATTTGGGTGAAAAATTATAATCAAGTAGCTTCAATATCGAGACATTATGCTGTAAAGGATATATGAGCAGATTCAGTTCACTTCCACTGAGCTGGTCTGTAATCCATTGAATGAACGCTTGAAAGCCTCTTCATATAAATATTATTTTTATTTGCCCGCATCTGGATTGAACTTCGAGCACAAGTTTGAGAATGTCAAATGGCTTTAACTGAATGGAGGTGTCTTCCTCCTTGGAGACTTGCTATATGACATGATGAGGCTTGTTAGGGAATGCTTTTTGATCATGGAAGGCTAAATAAAAGTGGGCAAACTTCAAACCAGGGATAGTTTGATGTCTCATCTGACTGTATTTCAGAATATGCCAGAACTTTGATATGACTGTTGGATATTTTTGTTTAGATTATTATTATGCTGTTGTTTGTTGTTAAAAGCTAGAGATAAGAAACATGAAAATTCCAACTGTGATTGGATTTTAGAATCATTATGATGGTGCTTGCAAGAAGTATTACTCTGGTTTCAGCAAGATGACATCTCTATCAGAGAAGTCTAAACTGATATGTAAACTACAGCTAACACTTTGAATTGTTTAGGGTAATCTGCAATGCTATATATTACTGGAAGTAACATATTAGGTTTACTGAGAACTTAGAGTTCAAGATTGATCCAATTTGTTGACATCTTAGTGGTTGAGAGGTTTATTTGAGAGAAAGAAAAGGATTTTACGGTGTTATACTGGTGGTGGCTGTCTAGTAGGTCCTGATGTGTTAAGAACCTAAGGAACGATACTCTGTTGAGTAATTTAGGTGTCTTACTGTTGGTGTTACTTGATGAGCTTGGTGGGCTAAAACCTTGACAGAGATTCTTGGAAGACTCATTCATTGTCTTGAATAACATATGTTATTGTGTATTATATTCTGTGATTTTATATTTTTGTGTTCTTGCCGTTGTATTTATATCTGATTACATCTTTATGATTAATCTACTAGTTACCTTTGCTACCCTCGGGGAGAAGACCACAGTTATGTCGCCTGAGGTACTTTTTAATGCTGGTGTCCCTTGCTGCAGGTGAATTCTGGTATCCATTACTTTTGGAAGTTGTACTTCAGTTCTGTCAAGATTGATTTTGATTCAACCTGACCAAAAACCACTCAGAATACTTCTTTTAGTTCACTGACAACTCTGATTTTTACCCTTCCGAATTCCTGATTTAGAAGAAATATATCTGATGTGATATGATATACATCCTAACTGTTACAAACAATATGGGTCTCTTGGTTTTATAAAAAGCCTACGGGCAAAAATTGAGATGTTGATGGAGGTTTTTTTTTTTCTACCCGAAAAGTTCAGCATTGGTTTTTAAGATTTGGGTAATTATTACTATATCTGATCTGCCTTTTTCTTTATCAGGTTGGTTCAAAATGCTGGGGAGTTTGTTGTCACTTTTCCAAGAGCCTACCACTCGGGTTTTAGTCACGGTGAGCATCTTGTGATTTTATTGTGTATATCCTTTGTTCTCACCTAAGAAATTGGACACTAACAATAGAATCTTTAGTTAAGTATTTGCCTATATTTACATGTGTTTTGAAACAATAGGATTTAATTGTGGCGAGGCTGCCAATATTGCTACCCCTGGATGGTTGACTGTTGCGACCGAGGCAGCAATTCGTAGGGCCTCCATTAATTGTCCTCCAATGGTTTCCCACTTTCAGTTGTTATATGATTTGGTGCTCTCATCTTGCTCAAGGTTTGTTTTTGTCTAACGGTATTTGCGTTTTCTCATGTAGCAGTTATGTTTTCTGAAAGTTCTTTGCATGTGTTTTCTTCTCATTTATTCATGGATTCATAGTTGAGCTACTCATGGAGTTGGGAGTATAAAGTGAACCTAGACAGTAGACACCTTGTATTTAATATGAGTTAGATGTGTTAAAAGGAAGAATTTCACTATAAAATCCACTGGGTTTGTGAATACTAGAGTGAAACTGAACAAGCTTTGCTTGTATCCGTCTGTTCATTTTCTTTGTAGAATAGGTTAAACTAGCATGTGCTGCTAAAGGTCACTGTTTTTATACTTCTTTCTTGCTTTTGTTTGCCAACTTATCTCAACACTTTTTCTTTTTCTCAATTATATCTGCAATGCTATGGTGTAAATTTGTGGAAATAAAATGCATCAGTTTTGAATGAAATTTCGTATTGAAGCATATTCGTAAAAACCTATACTCGTGAATTGTCACAGAAGCTCTTGATAAAAAATCTTGTAAAGCTGCAGTATTATCATATTAATATGTGAAGTATGCTCCAGCGACAAGGCTCCTATATGCTTATTAGCTTTTATGACTTAATTTTTGAACAGAATAGCAAAGAGTGTCCATATGGAGCCTCGTAGTTCTAGGCTAAAAGATAAGCAGAGAGGAGAAGGAGACATGTTGGTGAAAGAATTTTTTATACAGGATGTCTTGCAAAATAGCAATCTACTTCATGTACTGGCCAAGGGATCTCCAGTCATAGTTCTTCCTCAAACCTCGGCAGGCAGTTCTTTTTGCCTGCAAACAATAAAAAGCTCATTCGCGAAAGAAGTAGCGAGTCAAAAAGGGGGTCTTGGAGGGACAGGATCTTATGCTATGCGGAATAAACATACTCCCCTTAGTCTTGATAAGAGGCCTCTTTTTTCTGGTAGAGGCCTTGAAACTTCACTAGCTTCTGAGTCCAAAAACATGGGCAATGGACAAGATAGACCATGGGCTGATAGATCATCGGATCAAGGGCTTTTTTCATGTGTAACTTGTGGGATTTTGTGCTTTGCTTGTGTTGCAATAGTTCAGCCAACAGATGTAGCTGCGCGATACCTGCTAACAGCTGATTGTAGCCAATTCAAGGATTGGGCAGACAATAGCGACATAATCACTGCTAATAGGGATGGAGATTTGCCGAAGTCAGATTCCTTTCCAGGTAATATTTATGAGGAAGTTTTTGTTTAGGGTTATGATCTTGTTCTTATTGTTTATATTTATTTTCTTTAAATGTAGTCTCATAAGAGCTTATAATGATCCTAATCAGTTTATATGTTTTTTGTGTGTGAGTTATACTTGTCACGTGAGTAATTATTTAAATCTCGTGTGTTCAGTACGATGGATGAATAAAAGGAACCGAGATGGACTTTTTGACGTCCCTGTTGAGGCTGCTGGTCCTTTAGAGTCAACAGATAGTCACATTCAGGGGCCATCTTCAAATGCTGACATTCAAAAGGGTGCATCATCCCTTGGTCTTCTAGCTTTGGCATATGGTAATTCTTCCGATTCAGAAGAGGATGATGGTGAATCAGTTATAAGCAATGAAGCTTGCAAGAACAGACCTGTGGAATCTTCAGCAGAAAGTGAATTGGATTGTTATGATAATGTTGAAAACCTGGGTGGCAGATCTACGTCCTATTTAGAGGTAAATGTCACAGATGAAGTGCCTCTTCAAGTTACTTGTTCAGATCAAGGCAACCCAGAAAGTAGAACACATGGATATCTGGATGGTTCTTTTGAGCATGACTCGTGTAGGTTTTTTACAACGATGGATTCTGGTAACTTAACAGATAGATCTAGACATCAGATAGAATCACTAGATGCATCCCCAAACTTTTCCCCCATTGCGCCGAAAGCTGAACATGCCATGACCACAACCTTAGAACATTTTCGAAACAAACAGTTTCCTCGTACCACGAGACCTGATGAAGATTCTTCAAGAATGCATGTTTTTTGTCTTCAGCATGCTGTACAGGTTGAGAAGCTGCTTCGGTCCATTGGTGGGGCTCATGTCTTACTCCTTTGTCATCCAGGTCAACATCTTTTTTTTTGTTCATTAACTTAGTATTTTTTCTTTTGTATTTTGAAATGAAATATGAAAAAAGTCTTCTCTGAAGGCCAACTAAAACATTGGCCATTTCTTAATGGAATTGATGAAATATTGTTCACACGATTGTTATGCATGCTCCAACCTTTTGGGATTTGGGAAGATTAGGAATCTGTAGGATATGAAAGTAGTAATATTGTTGTAAGAAGACGGCTTTTTTTTGTACCAATTGTGTACAGGCCTTAAGGTGGGAAGTGAGAATATGATGACAATTTTCAAATTTTCAGCTTTAGTCTTACTTTGTTGTACCATCTAGTTGCAGTAAGTTTTGTCATGTTTCTTTTTATCATCATTTTGTTTCAAAAAACTGTAAAGGTGTGGGAAAAAAGATGCTATGAAAGGAGGAGGAAGCGGAATTTTAGTGAATCTATTCTTCAATCTCATTGGTAATTCTTTCTTGCAATCTTGTTGAGATTTTCAGTCCTTGAATGCAGACTATCCCAAGGTGGAGGATCATGCTAAAAAGATGGCTGAAGAATCTGGAAATGATTATGCTTGGAGTGCTAACTCATACAGAGAAGCATCTCAAGATGATGAAGAAATAATTCAGTTAGCTTTACAAAGTGAAGAAGCTTTACATGGGAATGGGGATTGGGCAGTTAAACTAGGCATGAATCTCTTCTACAGTGCAAATCTCAGTCGCTCTCCTCTCTACTGTAAACAAATGCCATACAACTATGTCATATACACGGCATTTGGAAGAAATTCTTCCACGAGTGACCTAACAACTGGCGACCCCCTTGGGAGAGGGCAAGGCAGGCAGAGAAAGATCCTGGTTGCTGGAAAGTGGTGTGGAAAAGTATGGATGTCGAATCAGGTTCATCCTTTGCTTGTTAAAAGAGATCTAGAGGAAGAGCAGCCAAGGAACATCCCTTCCCACATGAAACCTGCTTTGAAATCTGTTTTGAAGTCCAATAAGGAAACAGATGATAAGCCTGAGATATCTTTAAGAAAAAGTCGCATTCTGCCTGCTGAAACGACCTCCATTACTGCTAGGCCTGATAAATCTTTACGAAAAAGTCGCATTCCGACTGCTGAAATGACCTCCATAAGTAGCAAGACTGGGAAAAAGAGGAAAACCACAGCTGATATTAGACCCAATGTAAAAGCTAAGTCTGCAAAAGTTGAAGAGCAAGGTGAGTCTTTTGAAGATTCATCAATCGGCCTTGCTTTGATGCTCCGCAAAAGCAACCAGACAAAGAAGCGAACAACTAGGGAGAATCCTGAGCCACTTGATCGAGGTGTGAAGAACAGAAAGCAATTGAATGTAGAGCCGCTTGATAGAAGTACTAAGAACAGAAAGCAACTGAATTTCGAGCCAATTGATAGAGGTGTGAAGAACAGAAATAAATTGCATTTAGAGCCGCTCGACAGAGGTGTGAAGAACAGGAAGCAATTGAATTTGGAGCCACTTGATAGAGGTGGGAAGAACAGAAAGCAATTGAATTTAGAATCTGAGGAAGAGGAGGAAGGTGGTGTTAGCAGCCGCCTAAGAAAAAGACCTGAAAAGCCAGTGAAAGATCAAAAACCTAAATCAGATAAGCCCAAACCAGTTGCAAAGAAACCTCAAGCAGGAGCAACGGCAAAGAAAAGTTCTGCAGGATCTGGCAAAGCAAAGTTAAAGGAAGAAAAGGCAGAGTATCCATGCGAACTGGACGGATGCAGCATGAGTTTTGGCACAAAGCAAGAGCTTGTGTTACATAAACGAAATATTTGTCCTGTGAAGGGCTGTGGGAAGAAGTTCTTCTCGCACAAGTATTTGGTACAGCATCGTCGTGTACACATGGATGATCGTCCATTGAAGTGCCCCTGGAAAGGCTGCAAGATGTCATTTAAGTGGGCATGGGCTAGAACAGAGCATATTCGAGTCCATACAGGCGATCGTCCTTATGTTTGTGATGAGGCTGGCTGTGGCCAAACATTCCGATTTGTGTCAGATTTCAGTCGTCATAAGCGCAAGACAGGTCACTGTATTGCAAAGAGAGGCAGAGGATGATTGACCATTCTTTCTACTTAACAAGGCTGATGATAGAACTGTTTTCAGGTGACAGGAATAGGGGTAGGTCAGATTTTAACATCCCCTTGTAATTCTTTTCTTTCTAGGATACGTTTAGACTTGCTTTGCTGGGTTCTTGATTAGGCACCTGATTTACTTTCAAGTAGGTCAATTATTTATCTTCTTGACAGATAATTGAACTCCAAACGGAGAAGAATTCATTGTGCCAGATATGGTCTCATTGCATGTCAGCTGCGCCAGTTACCGTCTGTCATTTGGCATAGTTCCCTAAAACAAGAAGAGAAGCTATGTTTTCGACAGACAGATATAACTCAGAAAAATATGCATGATGGTGTGTGCTGAAGAATGTTCACAAATTCATTTTAGTTTCGTTTTGCAACGAGAGAATTGTTTGGCAGTAACATATCTTATTACAAGGGTAAACTTTTCTGTGATCTTAGCGAAAGGGTTTCAATCTTTCGACTCTCTCCGTCCCAAAATGAATTTTTATTATAAAAAAAGGTTAGTTTGACTGGATATTGTGGTGAAAAATTGTACTCCCTCTGTTTCAAAATTATTATTCAGTTTAAGATTTCATTTTTAGTACAATTTGAATTAAAAATGAAAACTCAAAGTGAACAATAATTATGGGATCGTAGGAGTACCATTTGATTGACATAACAGCGATCTTGGCAAAAGTCGGGCCAACAGTTTACCACTGTTGACCTTTTTTATCAATCAGAATCATTGTAATGATAGTGTTCAAGTTTTCAGTCTATTTCTCTTTTAATCATTGGTTTGACTCACGTGCCCCAAAATGGATCCTCTTGTCTGACCTAGACTGCAATGTTAAGCTGAATTTCCCTTCCCCCTCCCCTTTTTTTTTAAAGGGTGTCCCAGCTATACATCTCCTGATGTTAATCTCAAAATTTTTCACGTCCATTTACACATTATGTATCAATATAAAAAAAAAATTCAATATTACAAACACAATTAGAACGCCAAGAGAAAGATAAATCTAATTGACTTCCAAGAAATTCAAAATCTTCATTCCAAGTTGACATAACGTCATCCCAAGTTGGATTGTAATTGACTCCTTTTCTTTTAAATATTTTGGCACACTTTAGTGAGCCTCTACAGTCTATACAAGTAAAGAAATCTCATTACCTTTTCAAAAAAATTTTTTTAAAAAAATCTCATTGATAAAACAAAAATAAAAAATAAAAATCTCATATTCTACTTTGATCTCAAAACTTCTTAATCTCTTTGCATAACCACTTGCTCGTGTTGTGTTAATGTAACTCCATCCTCTTCATGTCTCTGCAATAGAAGGAAGAATATGATATATAAGCATTAAAGCTTCTAAATGAACATCTTCACAATTACTCGTCTCGTCCCAAAACGATTATCTTATTTATTGACAGACAAGAATAAAAGATGCAGTGTTGCAAAAGCAATCCAGAAGTATTATATTTACAAGAAAACCTTCAAGTTTTGAGTTCTTTGTAAGCAATGATCCTTCTCTAATAGTAATTTCCCTATCATCATCAACGTGATGATTCCTTTGTGATTCAATTGTTTGACGATCCAATAAAAATTGCCTCCTCCGTCTCAAATATCTGCCAATACAGCTTCAAAGTGATTCATTTGTTCGAGTGATTCTACAAACCAAGATGAAAGAACAAAAAGAATTCAGCACATTCTCTCAAAATGCAAAGAAATGTGTCATACTTGATTACGCCCAAAAGTGTATCTCTTTTCTGCTTTGCAGCCTGAAATTTCCTTTTCTTCGAAACAAAATCCTGTCAAAAGGTTTCAACAATTTTTTAACACGATAAAAAATCATCACAATCACCAATCAACTCTGAAAAAAAAACGAAACCTTCAAATCATCACGTAAATATACACTTCTACTCTGTCAATCGACTGGTCTGAGTAGAACAAACATGGCAGAACTAAATTAAAAGAATTTACGTTTCACAAAAAAGATAAGAACCAGGAAAAGTTGCAAATATTTTCAATTAAAAATGTTGCAAAAACAATGAGTAAAACCAACTAATTCCTCAGCCCAGAACAGAGACATTAAGAAAAAAAAAAAAGAAAAAAAAAGGGACCTTCTGTAGTTTCAAGAACTTATCCACCAAATTTTGATGCTCAACTTTTGAACTCAATTCCACATCCACACCTTTGAATTTCTGCAAATTCACAGCAGCCCTTTTCATCTTCTGCTTAGATTATCTTCAAATATGATTTCAGACCAACCAGTAGAATCGAATAAATAAAGGGTTGTAATCTCGAAGGCAAAGATCACATAAGATCAGATTTACAGAATCCCCAAGCCATATGAAGTATTGCAAAAAAGATTGGAACTTTGAGGCCTTGCAATAAGTTTCGTCTTAAAAAGGAATTTGAGGTATGGTGGGTTGTGTTGTAGAAGGACAACAGAAGTCTTCCTCTTCCTAACAGGACATCTAGCCATAGTTGAGTTGTAGTAGAATTTCCTTTTGCTTTTATTTTTTCTTTCTTTCCTTTTTTTTTTTTGAGTATAATAAATATTTTATTAATGTGTGAAAAATAAAAAATTTGATTTTGGGCCATTTGGAGATAGGGGGATGAGGTTTTGTTTTGTATTGCATTAGAGAATTTGGAGAAAAACAGGAAAAGGATGAGGGGCCATGAGAGAAGTGGTCGGAGATGATGCAGAATTAGGCTGGAGAAAGATGGCCATTGTTTTTGTTCAAGTTGATGAAATTGCTATGAATAAATTTTTTCTTTTTTATGAATTATGAAAAAGAGAAGTAAAATGGTATTGGACAATGGGACAACAGATTCAGTATTTCCTGAACCAATTGTTTTTTTTTTTTTTCATTATTTAAATCATAAAGTAGCCACTCCACTACTTAGCTACTTCCATTTTTTTTTTTTTTGTGGATTATGCACTTGGAATTATAAAAAATATGATTGAGGTTTTAATTTATGTGTTTTTGTGTCTATATACCTATTAATCATATATTTTGAAATTATACCAATGATAAAAAATCAAGTAAAAAAGTAAGTAAATATTATGAATATATATCCGTAAAATTAGAAAGAGATATGGCTGAAACTAAAGAAAATGTAGTTAATCTTGCATTAGGACAGATTTTTTTTTTAAAAAAAACAGATTTGAATTCCCACTAATATGACTGATGGAAAAATTTGAGATAATAGTATTCTAGCGAAAATTTTCTGAGAAGAAGTTCAATTAATAATAAAGAAAAGGGTGCAAATTGTGCCTCTTACATTGTAACTAAAAGAAAATAGTGATGAAAAAGGGTGTAAATTTCACTTACTTCTTTAAGAATGGTGATCTATCTCCTAATAAAACTCATAAACCCAAATACAAATTATATGGCATTGCCCAAGTCTAAGAAAAATAGTTCAACTATAAACAAATTAGTTGTCCTGAAGCAGTATTCATAAGAGAATGCCTAGAAATTGAATAACTCCCCCTGTTCCAAAATTATTGTCCAGTTTAACCTTTCACTTTTAGTATAATTTGAACTAGAAATGAAAACGCAAAATGGATAATAATTATGGGACGGAGGGAGTAGTAAATAAGAAAACTTCGGGCAAAAGTGCATTCTTCAGAATCTTGTCCATGCTTCAAGCTTTCTCATCAAATTAGCCATAGAAATCATCTAAAAGATGCTAAGGCCCTGTTTGATAAAACTTAATTTGGGTCTGAAGTCTGAAATCTGAAGATTGAATCATAAGTACTGAACTAATTAAGTTTTTCTTATTTGATAAAATTCAAAATCTGAAAACTGAATAAAATGTCTGAAATCTGAAGTCTGAACATTGAAATTTAAAGTATCTCGACTTATAATTTTATCTAAAATAATAATTGATTTATATGAAATTATGATAATAAATAATAGTATTATTATAAAATTATGTTATGTGCATTATGAAGATAGACATCAAAAAGGCATATCATTCGGTTGAGTGGAGTTTTGTGGGTGAAATATTGAAGGGTTATGGATTTCCAGAAACAATAGTAGCCAGGATCATGGAATGTGTGACTACCACTTCATATACCATCAATCTCAATGGAATTGTGGTTTTTTCGCAGGACAACGGGGCCTAAGGTAGGGAGACCTATGTCTCCCCTGCTGTTTGTACTCATTATGGAGTACTTAACCAAATTATTGAAAAAAGACGCAGAAGAAGAAGGATTTTAGTTCCACCTGCGGTGCAAAACCTTAAAGTTATCGAACATCTACTTTGTTGATGACCTGATGATCTTCTGCAAAGCGGATGTTCATACAGTAAAAAAGATAGTAAATGTGATGAAAAGGTTCTCTGAAACCACTGGCCTGGTTGCTAACCCTATGAAATTAGACATTTACTTTGGGGGAGTAGAAGAGGAATTGAAACGCCAGCTATGTCATTTAACAAGTTTCAGGGAGGGGAAATTTTCAATAAAATACCTCGGAGTTCCAATTTCTCCAAGGAAGTGGAACCATATGGAATGTGAGGTGCTTGTCAAAAGATCACGGCTAGAATAAAGTGCTGGAGTTCAAGGTATTTGAGCTATACCGAGAGATTACAGCTGGTAAACTCTGTCCTGCTTATGATGAGTAATTACTGGTCCTCAGCCTTCATTCTTCCTAGGAGCATCACTAACCAAATCAATCGAATCTGTCGATCCTATTTGTGGGGGATCAGAGAGTCGGGGAGAAGTATGGCTCTAGTCAGTTGGGACCAAGTGTGTAAATCCAAAAAGGAAGGTGGCTTGGGTATCAAAGATGCTCGATTGTAGAATGAGGCTGCCCTGTTAAAACAAATCTGGAATGTGGTAAGAAAAGAGGACAATTTGTGGATCAAGTGGATCCATGAAATTTATATAAAAAGGCAAAATTTTTGGGATATTGAAGCTAAGTCTGATTCAGGATGGCATTGGAAGGCAAATTGTCAAACTGAAAAACAGAGCAAAACTTGAATTTGTGGACAACAAATGGAGGCACTCACCATCAAGTAAGTACACTATTACCTCTGGTTATTACTAGCTGGTTAGTGAAGGAAATAAAGAGTATGCTGCTAAGTTCATCTGGTCTTGTTTGAATGTACCAAAACACTCTTTCATAGTATGGTTATTCTGGAGAAAGCGTTTGTTGACTATGGAAAGAATGACTAGATTGAATATACATGTTGATAATTCTGTCTATGTGTTCTGTCATAACCATCTGGAAAGTATGGAACATGTCTTTTTTGAATGTGATTTTACTGCTGGTTTGATGAGAAGTGTTGGCCAATGGGTGGGGTTGAACTCTATGTCTACCAGGCTGTATGATTGGAGGAAAAGAATCTTGGTCATCTGAAAATCAGCATGTTTGAAAAGGAAAATTATGTTTGTTGTTATGGCTGCTTGCATATATCACATATGGGAGAAAAGGAATACTCGACTATTCACAAGGAGAACTAGAACAGGGTAGGAGTTGATGATACGTAAAAAAGTCCAATGGCAGTTGAGTTTACTAGAGCAACGAAAATGTCTAGCACTACTAAGGAAGTTTTGGAATGGTACCTTAGATGTTAAGTTGTATATTCTGTTAGTTTGTATTTAGCAGGAAAATGATGTATAGAGACTTTTTGACTTGTAAATGTGCGTTACACTTGAGAAAGTTATCAATATATTTACAATTTACCAAAAAAAAAATTATGTTATAAAAATATTTAAATTTTATTATGTAATTATTTTTCCAGTTTATAATAATGTCATATCTTTATCATTATCTAAAAAAATCATATTTTATGGAAAATATAATTGATCATGGAATTAATTCGGATTTTAATTTTTATATTAAAATAAATGTTTATTAAATAAAAATAATTTAGATAAATTTTAATTTATAACTAAAAATCAAGATTAATAAAATTATTTCAAGATAAAACATAAAAAATATAAACATAAAAGTAACTAAACAGGAAAACAATCGTCTCAAGAATGCAGTTCAGACATACTCCCTCCGGTCCTTAGTATAAGGCATTTTCATTTGTCCTAGGTCTAAATTAGTATACATTTTTAATTGACGAAAAAATCTTAAAAATATTTCATAACAGTCAAGAGAAAATAACGAATATGAAAATATATTTTTAAGATTTTTTTGTCAATTAAAGATATGTACTAGGTGAAACTTAAGAAAAGTCAAAATTGCCTTATAATAAGGACCAGAGGGAGTAAGTGATAGGCCTATCACTTATTTTTAGAATTACATTTGTACTGGCATTTCAGACATACTTATTTTATTAAGACATCCTACTTTAAGTTATCAAACGCACTTAAAATTTAAGTCCTTAATTAGTTAAATTTTTAATCAATTAAGTGGTTATGATATTGTGTTATCAAACGGTACTATTCAATTAAGTATTTAATCAATAAGTTTAAGTGTTGAATTGGTTTATCAAACAAGGCCTACCAAAGAGTCCAGACGTCCTTTCGGTACTACGATCATTGAGCCAATAAACTATAACTTGAGCATTTTCAGAGTTTTTTTTTTTCCTCACATTATAGTTCCTTAGGCCGTGGCATATATCAATGGTATAAACACCATCCATTGTAGAGATTTTCTGATCAAAACTTTATAATCCGTTTTATTGGTTCGTTGGAAATAATAGTTTGTCTTGGATAATTGATGTTGCCGGAGCTCGCGCCATAAAAATTTCCTCCGTTATTATAAGTTTGCATATTTATTAGTTATATACTTACAAATGTTGTAAATATACTGGACATTGTCAAAAAAAAAAAAAAATTCCAATCCTGAAAATGACACTTACGTTTACTTTATTTTTTTTTGAATGTATTTGTTCAAGTAACATTTTCATTTTTAAAAGTTTTTGTTGATATATTAATGTGTCAGCAAGGATTTTTCTCGTTCTACCAATATTGATCGCAATTAGTTTTCATGTGATAACATGATCAGATGGCTCAAAAGAACAAACTGAAATCAAATTTTATCATTTTTTAAAACTATGCAACAAACTTCCTCTTCTATTCATTTTTTTCGTCATTATTTTCTCTTTTTCCCCTTATGTTACCTTCGAATTTAAAAGACATATTAAAAGTGATGTAATATGAAATGATCCCTACAAATTAGTGAAGGGAAATAGGTGAAATCACCACCACAATTTAGTGGGATTCTTTTTTCTTTGAGGAAGTTTTTTGCATTAATAATTTAGTAATTTATCAAATATTATTCAATACTCCTCCTGGATCTTATTATGAGGCATTTTGATTTTGTCCTAAGTTTAACTTAGGATATCTTTTTAATTGGAAAAAAAATCTTAAAAATTTATTTTTCCATTCGTTGTGTTCTCCTAATTATTATGAAATGTTTTTAAGGTTTTTATTCCAATTAAAAAAACATTTTAGGTGAAAATTAAGACAAAATCAAAATGTGTTATAATAAGGACAAGAGGGAGTAATATTCTGAATTACTAAATTTAGTGGCACTGATAATATTGATTTAGAGAAGTTTTACTGTAAATTACGAAAGGGTTCATTTCAAATTTTGAATGGAATGAAAAGTAAACATTAACGGTTTCACTATTTTCTTCATTATACTTAATATAAAGGCACAGTAGGTAAGAAAATTAAATATCCAAGAAATATTCAGGCCCACCTTCAAAGCGATCTCGGCGGTCGGATGAGTTGGATATGACGTCAGCAACTTATTAGGGGTAAAAACGGGTTTTCTTAATAAATTCAGTTCAACCAATTTAAAAAAATCGCAACCTATTGAGAAAAAAGACCCAACCTACAAAACGACATCGTCCCTTCTCCAATAAAAAATCTTATAAGGGTTAAACTCGGGATTTCATAAATTCAACATATTCTAATAAAAACGTCAGGGACTTATTAGGGGTAAAAACGGGCTTTCTTAATAAATTCAGTTCAACCAATTTAAAAAAAATCGCAACCTATTGAGAAAAAAAAACTTATTAGGGGCACCGACAAATTGACGGCCTAACCAATTAATCCTTGTGCCATTCCCACCGACGGAACTTCACTCTTTTGGCATTCCTACCTTGCGGAGCCGACGTCGTCACTGAACAATTGAATAACCTTCGTTTTTGAGAAAGTTATTTATAGTTACACATTTTGCAATTGGAAGCTTTTTTTTTTCTTTATATATAGGTCCAAGTCCGCGTATGAAGTCAATATCGGCCACTGATGAAGGAACAATTTGCTTCAGTACTTAAAACACATTCTTTCCGCGTATGAAGTCAAGATTAAGTCAAACAATGCATAGCTAATACACTTAGGGGCAACGGCCAAAGACAATATTAAGTCACTTATTAGCGGTAAAAACGAAATTTCACAAATTCAGTGTACTCTTTGGCTCGTTTTTTCGTTCATTTTTTCAGAATTTTTAATTAATATCTATCACATCTCAGCATACCTTTTATATTTCTAATAAACCTTTTTACATTTCTAACATAATTTTTTACATTCTTAATACAAAAAAAAACACACTCAAAAAATTATCCAAACATAGCCTAAGTTTTCCAGTGTAATAAGTAAAAATCTCCAATAACTAACCCTAAATTTTTCAGGTTAAAAGCTCAAACCACCCACCCCCCCCCCACCCCCAACGAAGCAAACAACGTCGTCCCCTTCCTCTGCCTAATTTTTCTCCAAAAAAACCCCACCCAAATAAACGACGTCGTCAATTCATCTTCAATCCGACGGTCGGTATTAAATCACTTATTAGGGGCAAAAATAAAATTTCATGAATTCAGTGTATAAGCAACCGTGTTTTTGAGGGTAATAAGAAAGAAACCCCCAATAAACAAACGTAAATTTTTGAGGATAAAAAGCAAAAACCCCCCAATGAAGAAAACGACGTTGTCCCCTTCCTCTGCCTGATTCCCCCAAAAAAACTCCACCCAAACGACGTCATGCCTTCATCTCTAAACCCAAAAACCCTCCCGCCCCTCGTCGTTCTCAGAATTACCTCTTTCCCGACTTTTTCTTCTGCCACCCTCCGTTGGAAATCAGTCAATCGCCTCGTTTCCACCGTGACCACAACACTGTCGGCGGCGTTTCCACCGGCACCATGGCCTTGGGCCGTGGATTTATTTTGGCCCAACAAGAAACAATTTCCTATTTTCCTCTTTAAATAGGATTAGGAAATCATTAGGAAAAAAATTTTCCAATCCAAATAGTCCCATAATTTCAGACTTCCAATTGGATTACAACTCAAAGTCGGCAACTGGTCTATAAAAACACCAGCAATTCCCACAAATAGAACCACCTCAAACTCTCTCTACAGTTGATTTTACTTCCCTTTGGATTTTCGACGATCCCCAAAGATTTCGATTATGCCAGAGTCGGTTGCACCGGTGATGTCGTTGTCGACCGAGACCATGGAGATGGCGAGTGGTACGTGGTATTGTGCTGGAGGTAATTCAATTGTAGTGTTTAGATAAGACTAGAAATTACCAAAAAATAATGATTATCCGATACTGCACCTTGCACTCTTGTAGCTGCTTCATGGGTGTTTTGTTTTGCCCATTGGTTAATGTTTGTTCACATCAACTGCATATTATTCATGTACATCACAGTTTGAAGAGTTCTTTGATAGACTATGTGGTGTAAATTTTTAGATTTTATTTCTTTTTCTTTCTATTGCCATGAACTTGTGGATTGTTCAAAACAGGATCAGATCCTTTGTGACTAAGGATGATAAACTAATGGGGTTAGTTTGTTTCATAAATTTATAACTAAGTTGTTATCCTGATGTGTTTGTGGCAAGCTGATAAAGACACTAATGAGATTTATGCTCAAATGCACCAATGAACTCTGTAAGTTTCGAGCTGAGATTTGTACTTGTATAATCATGATTATATTAGCTGAACTGAAGGATTCCACTGAATCATTGTTATATTGTGATTGAGTTCTCAGTGATATGGAGTTCTTCTCTTGCTTTTGGATCAGGAAAAGGATGCCTCCCCCGTGCCAGATTTTGGCTAAAGACTGGCAAACATCCTACTGACTTCTTTTGCAAGACTTTGACTGCAAGTGACACTAGCACTCATGATGGGTTCTCAGTTCCACGAAGAGCAGCTGAGAAAACTCTTTCCATAGCTGGTTAGGCTCCCCATTGCATGAGATTTCTTGCCTTGCTTCTGCTGGATGGCATTCCCATTCCAAGACTTGGTATCATATTTTCTCTTTGTTAATTTAGGCTTCTATTCTGCCCCTGCCATTATAATCTCTGTCGGTTTTATGTTGTGTACTTTTTTTAGGTATTTATTTACTATTTTGTAAGATTTAACGAGTCTAAAGTTTCTAAAATTCAGTGGTAGAGGTGTTTATTTTGCTTCTTCTCTTTTAGTTTATGTGCTTAAAATTTTCCTTTTGTTTGTTAAAAACTTTTCCCCTGATTCTTTTGATAATTAGTGATTTCATTATTATATCTTATATGTTTTTGAATAAAAGCAGCATGGACATTGGGGCGAAGGTGTTGCGGCTACCACTCTTAAATTCATCTTGGTAGATTATATATAGATAGTAGTACACAGATTTCAGATAAATTCAGGTTTCACTACGTTTTCACCTCAAGCTTTTTTTTAAATCCTAGAGAGTTTAGCTTGGTTTAAATCATATATTACGTACCGGTTGGTTTGTAGTCTTCAATTTGTGGTTGCAAATACCACATTAGATTTAAATTTCTACCTGGATATTTTAGGTGTCGTATAAGGTTGAATATGCATGACCACAGTGGTCACTTGCAGGCTATGAACTTAGGCGATATCGGAGAGAAGCTCTTGGCATTACTGCATAAGAGATGATAGAGGAACGAGAAAAGGTATTACAACATCTCTATGAATATATTATGGTTTGTACTTTCTCTTCTTATTTCTGTTTAGGAGGTTATCTCATAAACATGGTAGTTCAGATATTACATTTTAGCAGGAACCGACAACTCCAAGTTATTCTAATTCAAACTCATGTGCTCTTTACTTACTATCCCACCCATACTGAATGTTTTTTTCTTAATGTGATTCAGGGACAAAACTCAAAAACTTTATCACCATTATGGAGTCTGCTGCGTTCCAATCTGAGATAGCCAAACTTCCTCATAATGTGGAGTATGCTAAACAATCCCTAATGCAAAAATTCAGGACAAACATGTGCCGATTATTTTGATATGTGCTCTGTTTTTTATCACTCATGTAATGTTTCGCCTCTATACTTTTTGTTTTTCCACGAGTTAAGGATTTTCAAACCGTTTGATACATCTAATATGTTTGGAATTGATGTTTTCCAAATTTTAGTTGTTGTGAATTCCACATTCAGGACAAACAATGAAGTTAAAAAAATAGATTCCAAATAGAATTTGCCTACGTGCCAATTCCGGCAAAATCCATGACAAACATCAAAACAAGATCCATTGTTCATTCCAAGATCCAAAGCTCAAAAACCACCCACAACAATACATGATGGAACAGAGTGGAGCCATCTCGCAAATTATAATCATTCCCCTTCTTCACTATATACATTATTATTTACTAATTGATATGCTTGTATTAATCTATAAGCACTATGACAGTTGTGTTTTGTGCATACATACAAGATTTTGACGAAAAAAATAGCGATAAATAAATGAATTACTAAATCAGTATGTGTATGAACACTTTACAGGCTCAGTTAAAACACCTTAAACTAAGTTATGAAAGAAAAATGCACAAATGTTCATAAAACTGTGAGCAAGATGATAAGATTATTTTCTAAAAACAGGACAGATGCACACTGTTTATTAACGGAATAAGTCTCTTTACTTCTTACTAATATCACCAAGCCACACATACCTTTTTATCCGAAAAAAAATAAGAATCATGAATATGCAATTAAACAATTATGAAAGTGCAAGAACAAAATGCACAAAATACAATTCCTCAGTCAAGAACGTTCAAATAACAAGGGGAAAAAACAACACTCCACTAAGCGTAACAACAAAGTATTAACCAAACATGAAGTAAAAATATTGATATTAGACAAAGGAGTAAAAGAATTTATATACAAACTGGTCGCGCAACCACGAAAGCCTAGTTGTTTTATATGGGCCTCCCCCGAAAACTATTCCTTGCACAGTGATTTTATGGATGGTGGGCAGTGACGGCGACGGCGGAGGAAGGCGGCAGCAGAACTTCAATTTGTTATCTCTATACGCAGGCAGATGGAATTGAGGCCAGAAACTTTAATCCCTGCCGAATGATTATCCACGGGTGCGTCGGCAGCGGAACCCTAAACTGCTTCTTCTCGATATCGGCAACACGAAATTTTAGTTTCCTTGTAAGGAAAGGATTCGGATAATCAGAATCCCGCCACCTCTTCCTCACCGCCACCGTGTTTGTTTTCTTATCCCGTCTTATCTTCCTTTGTTATCGTATGATTGAATTAGTGTAGGAATTTTGTGTATTTTCTGTCAATTCATTCATTATTTGTAACATTAGCCAATAATAGTGATATTAGGTGTTGGAATTATGTCAATAAGAACGGAAAATCCAGTTCTGGGTGAGGATGAGGTGGTGGGATTCTGGTCGGAGTTCCCCGAAGACGTTATAGTGGAGATACTCTGCCGGTTGCCGGCAGAAGATTTAATTGCACTGAAATCTGTGTCCAAAGATTGGAACTTTGTGATCTCCAGATTCTGTATTCCTAAGCTTTGCCCCCCCCACCCTTGTGCTCCGTTCTGGGGTTTCATCTGTTTTGAAGAACCACTTCCTCCTAGTTTTTTTCAAGAAGGCCACGAGTGCAGCTTGGATAAATATTTGGAACATCACTTCATAAGTCTGTGCAGATTCAGGAAAGGAAAGTTTCTACGAAGATTGGCAGGCAATGGTTTGAAAATGGAGCGCCGGATTTCGGCTTTGCTGCAAGAAGTAAAGGAGGGGGAGCATGATGCTTCGGATATTCGAGATTGTTGCAATGGACTCCTACTTTTAGCCTCCAACTCACAGTATTATGTAGCTAATCCTGTCACAAAACAGCGGTTTTGGGTCCCCAAAAGCAGTCGCCAGCATCACAACATCGACCTGAAAACAATTCATTCCTCATTAGTTTTTGATCCTTCAGTTTCCCTTAGCTTTAAGATTGTCAGCTGCATTTGTCCGGCTGTAGACGCCACACCTAGTAGGCCAATGGAATTGGACGTTTTCTGTTCCAAGACTGGAGAATGGTACAGCCATGTTCTCCCTCTTGAGCCCCACAGTCTTTACGGCTTTGAGTGGCTTCGGCGTTCTGTTTACTTCAAACAGGCTTTGTATTCTCTGTCTTTGGCTATGTACTTGGTATGCATTGATAACCTTTTCCCGAGAAGTGGCACTAGTATAAATAAGGATTGTGGTTCTGAGTTAGAAGCCTGGGCCATTGAGCTCCCTGATAAAGATTTGATGCCAAAAGAGCTGCTTCCACACTCTTGTGGGTGCATTGGGTTCTCCTCTGCGTGTTTCTACTACTCGAATCGTGATGTTGAAGGTTCTTCCATGTTGGTTTGGATGCTGGTATTGAAAGGGAAAAGTTCTGAATGGATTTTGATCCACACCATCAGCATTGCTGATGACCTTGTTAACGGTTTCGGCAGCTTTGAACGTGCGAAGCATTGGAAAAAATTTGATTGCTTTAGACCTCGTGCATTTTTCTCAAATGATGATGCAATTGTTGTTGCAGCTCCAAAACTCCTCATCACCTATTACATAAAGATTAAGATGATTGATGAGTGTCATGTACCTGGTCTCTATAGGTGTAACAGAGACGCGCTGCATTTGGATGGACATTGTATCTTGCCATTCTCGCCATGCCTGCTGTTATTTAATACTATTGCAAAGGAGAATCTTCGAGAGTAAATTGCTGTTGTGCTTGTCTGTTGTTAGTATTTCTGCGCAAACATTTAAATAAAGGTTGTATTTTTATGTACGAGAATACTTTATTATTATTTTTTTTTTTTCAGATATTCTCTTTGTGTGTAGCCACTGAACATATTACTTTTAACCTTAATAGAGCCAACTTGGCTTTTGTCTGTTTATGGTATCATGACTTACATCAGCATGCTTTTTTCTTGTTCTTTTCCCCCCTTCTTTGGCATTATTGCAGCTCGTGCTGAAGTATTTTTAACTTCCTGTAGAAGTTATGTGTTTGCAGATATTTGGTATGGTTCAGGGTGCAAGGATTGTGGAAGCTTATTCATGGAATTCGAGGCTTAAATTTAGCAAATTACTTTAGTTTGTTGGTGGTAGCGGTACTTCTTGGGGTGGTGATAGTGTTCATATATCTCGGGAGCTATAGTAAAAGTGAACGATGAAAGAATAAACAGAAGAGCTGTAGGATAGAGTCGCTGGGATTGACTGAACCCAACAGAAGGTCTTTAGGATAGAATCACAGGGATTAACTGAACCTCCTCTTTCCAATGAAACATTTGTGTTCTCATTTGGCCTTCTTTTATACCAGTGGAGGAAGGAGGGTATTCTTGTTTTCTGTTGGAAAAGAGTATGTAGGAACAAAACAGAAACTGAAGTCAATTTGAAATATACCAATGTACTATTTTGTTCAGAGCTTTTATGCATTTACACATGCAGAATAGGCTCTACGAACTGTCGCTACATTTGGAGGTTATTTACATGTTAGTCTTGCATATTCTTTTGTTGTCGTCCTGTTTGAGAGCTCTTTTTCTGGACCCAAGGTCATATTCCTTCTTCATTAGTCGACCAAAGAATGTAGCTTTGAACAAGAATTTGAATTTTGTAGATGGTGTGTCAATGTTGTAAAGCTATCTAAATGCAAATCTAAATTACAGATGAGCTTCAGTTTGTATACTGGAGGACAAATGGCTGACAATGTTGTAGATAGCGAGTGATGATATGTCTTTTTCTGAAAATTAGAAATTATTTTTTTCATTGTTTCATTTTTGCAAGTCTTGAATTTTTCTAAGGTGTAGATGGATGATATGAAATTCGGTGGATGGTAAGAAGTATATTAGTCGCATGTTATATTTCCAGGTAATCATTTTGTTTACCTAAAGCTTTCGTGTGTTTGTTTTGGTTCTTTATATAGTCAAGTTTATTGTTGTCAGATAAGTTTAAGTTTGTTGATGGCCTTCGGGGGGAGAGATCCAGAGACTTTTTAAGCTAGTTACTTTCTGGTCCTTGACCATAGATTCTGAAATATTCATCGGATCCTGGGGACTTGCATTCCGTTACAGTTTCCTACAAATTTCATTTGACGCCATTTTACCTCTATTTTTGTTATATCTGCTGCTAGCCAGCGTTAAGTTGTTTCCTGTTGATGGATAAAGCCCTCTCTTTACATTACATGGCTGTTAAGCATGACTAAATGACATGGTTGATGTATGCTGAGTTTAAACAAGTTAGAGATCTTTTTATTTACCATTTGAAAGTGGAAGGAGCAGAAGTTGTTACATTCTATTCTGGGGAGGAATAATCTGTCTTCATATTCACGTGATATATGAATACCGAGATTATTTCATATTACGAATGCCAATAGTGTTTTCTCTCCCTCTAGACATGGTCTATCTATTGATTTCTCATTCGTGTGATAACAGCACCGTTTTCATTTCCCAGTAATTATGTGACAATTTCAAACAAGTTTCTTAAAAAGAAAAAAGCACTGCCTTAGATTCCTCAAGCTGACATTTCATATGTTATTTCCCAGAACGGTAATGCATTTTAACAATCACATAGAAATGTATAGCTCCGTCTCTCTCTGTCTCTCTCAAGAATGGCTTAGAAATGGATAGCTTAGCGTCTATCATTTGATACGATCTAAAGGTAATGCAGTTTATCATAATATATGCACTTCCATGGCTTCACAAGCCTACAGAGTAAAAACAAAGACTTAAACTCATTCCTTGCCCAGGGATGGATGACAATCATCATCTCTAAAATTAGGGAGAAACCCTTTTCGTATGTATATTATCGATCTAACAAAGGAGCAAAAAACTAGCAATTATAAGCTGAATATGTACATGCACCAGAACTTCTGTAAAAAGCATGTATTGCTTGTCAACTGTTCAATCTAATGCTTCCTGCGATGTCTTCAAAACACCTAAAGAAATTTGTAGCATCCTTGTCAGCTTCTAAATCTGCTTAAGTACCCCAGACAGCTTCTGAATCTCCTGAAGTAAATACCTGTATATTTGCAGTTGTATAGAAAGTTAAAAAATCAATAAACGGAGGAACTAAACTCGAAAATTGCAAACACTTGGCTGCTAGTACGTAGCACACTAAGAATTGAAAACAGATATACAGATCCCAACACGAATAATTTCCCAGTGACATGATATTCTGATGTCCATGGGCAGGTAACGGCAAAACAGTTGGCATAAGATACAGCAAACATAGAGGTGAACAAGGTGGAACTTTTATATCACTTTTCCAAATCGAAGTAGCAAGGGCTAGACGTACTTGGAAGGACCTAATGGAGACGTACTTGGAAGGACCTAATGGAATACTTTATCAAGAAGATTTCACACATCTCAACAACCTCCTAGCAGCAACCCAATGTAACAAACTAAACCAGATTACATATTAAGCTTAAACAGATTTGACAATGATAAGCATCCCAAAAACAAAAAACCTAAACCACGCATCAAAAAAACAAAAATCCTAAAACCACTTGCACATAAAGATCTTGTAAACAACGTGGTTTTGCTGAACAATAACAACCAACTAACATGTTATGCATTAAACTTCCATCACAAGATAAAATGCCATGCTGATGAATAATCCACATAAACCCATATTTTAAATAATCTATCTAGATTATGTGTCGCTAGACGCTTCCAGGAGATCAAGAGAATTTAGACCCCTACAAGGTTTGGTGCTATGGAAAACCGTACACAAGGTTTTGTGCTCTATGATAATGGATACAAAGTAAACGATGTATCATGAATCCAGAGATACTCATAGCAAAATCAAACCCATCCATTCGAGAAAACTAAAGCAAACCATGGCTTCAAAGTACAAAGCCATTTTAACTGATACGCATCCAAGAGTTTTACGAGGATGTACTCTTATTCAGTTAAAGTAATTTATGGGCCTTCATTTTTCTCCTCAGGGTTCAAAATTAGTGCTACATGATTGGCCACGTTATGCATGACTAATAAATAAACACATATTTAGCCTCTTGACTAAGAAAATCCTGAAACATAAAGACTATGAAAATCCTGAAACATAAGAGGTCAGGGTTCTGTGTATATGTGTGAGAGTGAATAGAAGAAACACGCTAAATCTTAGTAACTTATGTATATTACTTCTGTCGCGTAACATTTTGAAGATCACAAAATCCTATCTCTCCAAACTAATAACCAGTTGTGTACAAAAGATTACAAGAAATATACATAACATGTAGACACCCTCGTAACATTACGTACAATGATGACCATGGAACGGAAGGAAGATGCATTTGATAAGCAGTCCAAAACTGCAACAAATTTTCCACGGCCAAAAATCCTAGTATCAGGAATCATAGGAGGAAGATGATAAAAGGTCAATTGCACAAGTAGGAGCTTTTTCAGCCATTACAACAGAGAAAAAGCAAGAGATTAACAATTTCAAAAAGCGTGAAAGTGGTTGAAAAGGCAGAAACTCCGTCAGTTAAGGTCAGCAGACATTACAACTCAAAGTAAAAGTTCATACAGAAATAAACTGAGCACGTAGAATTGTCAATATTGGCAATTGTGCACCCACTCTCCCCAGTAACCATCAGAGAATCAGAGAAGAAATTCAGCCCGCGCTTTATACTCATGAAAAAGGAATATATTAATAATGTAATTACTGTTCTTCATCTCAGTATTCTCACAAATGAAAGAAATCCTATGGAAGCTTAAGAAAAGATGGAGGAAATGTTTCCATCTAAATGATAACTAGTCATCAGTTCAGCTGTGAGACCAAAAGGAAGATATACATGTACCTTAAAAATACTCAAGCCAAGTGTAATATAACATGAATATTACGTTCCCAAAAGAAGAATGCTACAAACGATTATATGTAACAACAAGGTTGTAATAACACAGCAGAAATTTATCAATGGTTCTAACATTAAGGAAATTAAAAAAAAAAATGGCACGAAAATAGTCTCTAAACTTCTGAAGACAAAAAGGCACCAATTAAGAAATAAGACAGAACAATGGGAAATTTGAAAAGTAACTAAGAAAAGAAGACGACATACAGGAGCAAACTGAAATCAATGGACTTTGAAAGGATTACGGTTACCTCAAGAAAGTGCATTGAGAACCTGCAAAGCCGTGGGACGATCATCTGCATTCAAGGACAACATCCTCTGTATTGTATCATATTGGAGTTCGGATACTTTGTCATTTTTCTCAGGGAAAGTATCTTTTTTGGCTTCATCAAACAAGTTTTTAGTTCCCATATATGTTTCTGAAGGAAAGAGCAGTTCGAGCATCACAAGACCAAGGGCATATATGTCAGTTGCTTTGGTGAAATTCACCATTCTCTTTTCACCTTCAGTGCTCAGCTCTGGAGCATGATATAACACTTTGCCTCTAGCTTCGCACTCAATCGAACTCTTTCCATCTTTCAAAAACTCAGCTGCACAAAACAAACTCAATTAACATTACAAATGAAAACAACATAGTAAAGTTGTAGATGATTACTGATTATGTTGAGGATATCTGCCTAGCTTTAGAGATAGATGTCCATATTGAGTATCATTCTGATGAAACAGCCAGTATCCGCCTCGATGGGAACAATATTAGGGCGTCACAGTTGGCTAAGATGTACATTAGGGAGAGGAGAAAGTCTGGTTATCTAACTGGCGATACTTCTAAGCCGAGGAAAACTGATTCTACCTATGCCACTTGCGAATTGCTATGCTGAAAATTTCCATTGCAATGGCAGGCTAATAAATTCTACAGAGGAGTTAAGCTGCACGTACATGAGTTATCCTACTGCCCAGGCTTTTTTTAAATAATCTAAGTCTAGCGTACAGACCTTTGAAATCAGTCCTAAAAATATGAGTTACAACATAACAAAACAAGGGAACATGTTGATGTTCTCAGAGGAAAAGAACAATCGGGTGTAAATGGGTTTTCATGGTCAAAATAGCACATACCCAATCCAAAGTCTCCTATCATTGCTTTCCCTCCAAAGTCCAAGAAAATGTTATCCGCTGCTATATCACAGTGAATAACATTTTTGTCATGGATACACTTTAAGCTCTCTGCCATTTCTTTGAGCATCCTTTCTGTATCTTCTGGACTGAAATCCCTATTCTCCTGGAAAGCTGCTCTTAGTGTGCTGAAATTTTAAGAAAGGATATAATTCACATAAAAAAAGATCAATCACAATATAGAAGACAAAAACACAAGTCTTGAGATGTACCGTTGACAAAGCTCCATTGCTACGTATAAGGTTCTGTTATAAGCAAGATTGGAACTCGAGCTCGAAGCTGAATCTGAAGATGCTGAATCGACCACAAATTCTTCTTTCCAGGACTTAAAAACCAAATTAAAAAAAAAAATCAAATTCAATTAGAAATTTCAAAAACGTTATCAAACTTAGTACTACTCAAACTCACATAGTAGTAACGAACAACATTGGTATGCTGAAAGGTTGACAGGATCTTCAGCTCACTGAGATAAATAATGAATTCAAATCAAACTCAGACAAATTTTGGAAACAAAACAGCCTAAAAGACGAATCTTATAGTAAACAGGCTTACTTGAGTGCTTCAGCTTCTTTGTCTTCGTTGTAAGGTATAATTTTCACTGCATAGTGCTTCTCATCAAGTTTATGCTGACATCTTTTGACTTTCCCACCACCTCCTCTACCTTGCAGTAGAAACAATGCGAATGTTAACCTCTACCAACAGCGAGTAACCATAATCACAAGGTGAAATACTAATTATAGAAGGGTATAATATTCAATTTTGATTACCAAGAGACTCTTCCTCTATGTAGTTCCTGGAGTATGAAGAAATGCAATGATGAAAGGGACTACCCTGTGGAATTGTTCAAGAAAACATATTAAATTTGAACAACTTCAAAGAAAGAAAAGAACAACCAGAAAAACTTACAGGCGAATGTTCCGAAGCAGCATCAGTGCTTGTATTACCCTTCATTTGGAACCTGCACGTAACAACAAATGATCTAGTCTAATCTCTGAAAAGCGGTATTAATCATTAGTGTATGGATTTTAAAGGCATGCATCTAGGACGATTACAAGCACATGCATTCAATTGACTTAGAAAGTAATATCCTAAGGGGAAATTCAAAATCTTATGTATTTGGAAAATTTTTGTATGGTTATGAGTACAATTTACAGTACTTCTTCTGACAGGCTAGCAATATGCAGCCAGGAAAAGATAACTAGCACTAAAATATTCAATTCAAATTCATAGACATTCAACAGGGTAGTACACCAGTATTCTTGACAAGTTTTTCTGTTTTTATTTTTATTTTTATTTTTATTTTTTTTGCTGTCCATAAATTGACCAATAAAAGGGCTAGATAGTTTCTACTCGACAACCTCAAAAGTTTGGCCTAAATATACATAACTTTAGGCAAAAGAAAATCAATGAATAATGATCAAAGGATTAAAAGAAAATCTCCATTCAGAAATCAGAAAAATGCCAATAATGCAAATAATTATATATCATGAGTTCATGACCCACCCACATACATTGTCATCTACAATAAAATAAAAATAGAATGTTCAAAATCTCCAGGACATCATCGACCACTTCAGTCATATTAACATTAAAAGTACGGTAGCAGAATAAAACATAGAAGAATACTTCAATCTCAAAGTTAGACCACTGATCAGTCAATAAGCAGATGATGCAATGAAGTTGAACAACTCTCATGCATGATGTCATGACACTTTTCCAGTGAGTAATCAACAAATATGTATGAAGGTAACAATCCAGAATGTAAATAAGCTACCAAAAATGGGGATTTACAATAGGGAAGAAACATTGTAAGCAAAACAATCAATCTGTTAGATGTAGTCAGGAGATACATGAGCAAAACCACAAATTCAACAATCTACTTTCATCCATTTGAATGCTAGAAAAACACATCTTAATGGCAGACATACTCGAAAAGCATTAAATCTCAGTCACTATATACAATGAATGAACAAAAGGTTAAGCATATGGGAGGCCCAACAAGAGAAGCACACATGGCTACTAACAAAGAGATCTCTATTTATTTCTCCATCTGCCCCAAATAAACAAGCACAACATCATAAATCCATCATAAGTCACTCTAGTTCCTTAGTGACTTAAAAACTACCAAAACATCAGTCCCAAAGGGAAATGAGGTTGCTATTGCTTAAATTTGGGAGGAAACACAATATTGCCCTACTTCCATGCGAACAGATTCTGAAAAGTAAACAGATCTCAGCCTAAGATTTCCAGAACACTGTCAGATAAACCAAGTGCTGATTCCAAGGATGTTTCAGAAGCAAGCAACTACTACCAAAACGAAAGAAAGGAAAAAAGAGCACATATCAGGTATGGCTCCATGACGGTCCAAGCTACACTACAGCAATTTCCAAGAAGCTATTGTACTATCACATGAACAAGCATCACAATCACATCCTACCACTGCTAATTTTTGTAACCTAAATCGTCCACAAATTCTACAAAACAATAATGGCAGTACTACACAAATTTCACGACGATTATCCACTAAGCAAAACCTTTACGCGTTCTATCAGAGAAATGTATGAACTAAAAGCAGTCGTTCATCAAAATCCAAGCATTCAAATCACTAACGCCATCGAATTTCATCATACGAGCAAAAGATTCAACAAGAAATGCTACCAAGCACCACGCGCATTGCATTAAGAATTACGAGGAGAAGACACATTACAACTTGAATTTTACAATCGGAATCAACAAGTTTTCACCTCCGGTTCAACCCGATTCCGTCGATGAGATGATCGAAGAGAAACACTGAAGCGTGACCTAGCTCTGCGAAGTTGCAATGGCGAAGAACGCCTGACCAGTGGCACCCCCAAACCGTGTTTACTCCTTGCTGGCTCGGTGGCGGTTACTCCGGTTGTGTATAAATATACAAATAAAAGGGGGAAAAAGAAAAGGTAAATTTATTATTTTTTTTAATTTCTTTTTTAATTCTTTTTATGTAAAAGAAGAGGGGAATTTACGGTTGGGGCAAAATTAGGCAATACTGTTATAAAAATCTCATTCAATGTTTCAATTTGTTTTCTTTTTCTTTTTCAGTGTTTGATAAATCCAAACAAAGCCAAAATCCATGAAAACTTCGTTATTTCAATAAGCAATGTAATGCTGATTTTTATTTTTTATTTTTGGCTCCGTGACACTTCACGTAATACGTTTTAGAAAAATAGTTTATATTTTTTATACTTTTAATATTTATTAAAAATTTTAAAATTTAATGTTTACTATTTGTTTTGTACACAGAGAGTATTTATTATTACACAATCTAAATAAGTTTTATAAATTTCATAATTTGGGATATGCATATATATATATATATATACACACACACACATAATGTTGGTAGTTATTTCATATTCATTTTGTTTTTTTTTTTGGGTACCCGTCTCATGTTTTCGATAAAGTTTTATAAGGCAAATTATCTGGTACACCCGGGGGCACCGTGTACCCCCCTGCGCGTGTACTTTACTCTCTTAGAATAGCATGAGCTCGCTAGATAATTCAGCTTTCTTTCTCTTTTTTTTTTAAACGTGGCATATATAAATTACCGAATTCATTCAAATTTTGAAAACTTACTGTGCCAGAATTGACACTGTGGATAACCAGTATACACACTATGGATAACTAGTTAAACATAGCTAGATAACGAGTGTGGACACTATAGATAACCAGCTACATAATATGGACAACCAGTGTTCACAATGTGGAAACCAGTGTTGGCAATATGGATAATTAGTTATACACAGTTGGATAACCATCATTTGGGAAACTGTCCCGTATTCATTTTTTGTTCTCCATCATTTGGCAAAATACCCCTCATTCAATTAAATATTATTTATAAAATTTGCCGTATTCGGCAGGGGGGCGGCGCAGTCGCGGGCACCGGCGCAGCCGGGTCGTTTAGTTTACCACGGGGAGATTTATACAAGTAATTTATATCCCCTCTTAATGCAATAACACACTCTCCTTACAGACACACGAAAAAAGGATTACCTTAGCTAAATTGGCGTGTTCGGCGGGACGGTGCAGTCGGGGCATGTTGGTGACCTGCGATTCCGGTAGCCGCGGGAGTCGTTTAGTTTATCATGGGGGGCGAAGCCCCCCAATTAACATGTCGTTTGCTTCTTTACCTCTAGATAACCAGTTTACAACTTCTGAATAACCAGTTTACACTTTCTGGATAACCAGTTTATAACTTGTGGATAATCAGTTTCCACCTTCTGGATAACCAGTTTACCCCTTCTGGATAACCAGTTTACAACTTGTGGATAAATTATGGATAACCAGTAATTGTGTATGTTTGTGCGTGAGGATGAAAACAGTAAAATGGATGAAAACAATTTTATTTGTGCATTTAATGTAAAGGTGAAAAATGTTGAGCGCGTGTGGTGCGTGTGTTTGGTGGGGGTATACGGTATATCCGGGTGCACTGGATACGGACTCTTTTATAATGCTATTTACATATTTTTGAAAATTGAAATAGAAATTAATAGACCTTAATCCAAGACCTTTAGTACTAAAATTAATTTGTTGTAGTAGAAATAATGTTAGTGCTGTAAATATTAACGTAATTACAAAACTTAAGCAAACTAATTGAATTTTTTAATTGGAGCTGCAAAGACAAAATCCTCGCAAATTAAGAATTCTCGTCCATTTCTTCTTTCTTACAAATCCTGTCTAAATAATACTAGTATTTACGTACAATTAGATTTCTCAGGAGGTAAACAAATAGAAAAATTTAAAGGTTTAATTATATTGTTGAATTTGTCTATCGTGATAGCATACTTCAATGAGTGTCGATGCATGTAATAAAAATTTATTGGAGATTTTAACAAGAAATGATGTGGTTTAATCCTAAATTATCTCCTAACCCTTACAAGTAAGATATAAGTAGAGACGGTTATACTTCATTCTCTGTTAAAATTTTTCTGTAGATTTTCTAGTATAAATCATTATCCTATTTGAATATATGTCTGCATTTCTTTTTTAAAAAAAATTTACTTAATCGATCAATTTATTTCCTCAGAACGACCAAACTAGTTAAGTTAACTAAAAATGTATGCATAACAGAAAAAAAAATGTTTATCATTTTCACAATATTAGTTAATATTATAAAGTATCAGTTGTACTAAAAATAGTACAATTAATTCATAATTTAGGTTTTATCCATCTTCAGTGGGTTTCTCTTATCTGAAAAGAAAAAGAAAAAAGTCGATTTATAGTTTAGAATGTAAACTATTTTTATGAGACATCAGACATGAAAAAAAATTAGAATTTATATAGATTAATATACGATGAGAACCAAAAAAAATTCTAAAAATAAAAATTAAAAAAAATGTGTCATTTACTTTTCCAGCCTTATGAAGCGTATACTTACGTGCATGCAGGACCTCCGATGTATCCATCCATCCATGCAAGATGCAACGATATGAAGCCATAACTTTTATACCATCTCTCTCTCATCAGTCATCATTAAGAGTTCTTTTTTTTTTTTCTGTTTTTTGAAAAGAGACCTGTGTATTTGATTGAAGACCGTAGTCTATTTCAACGCACCTTTCATCATTAAGAGTTGTTATTGTCAAAACAACAATTACCAACAACAAAAAGTTATTGAAAATACCCTTCTCAAATTATATATAACTTCTTTTTTCTTTCAAAAACAGAGCATGGAAAAAAAGTCAAAAAGCTCTCGGTGCACATTAGAAACAACAGGAAATAATGAAAAATGAATTTGTTCACTCAGCCTTCTTCCATGGTTTCACGTAGATTGGAAAAATGATAGTGCCTAGGATTCACTTTTAGACGGGAAGAATTCCTTTTTTTGGGGTGTATTTATTTTGCTAATTTTATTTTATTTAACTTTAACTAGAATTTGACAAAAGGAAATGCAGGAAACCAATTTCACATATATATAATTGGTAAAATAATAAAAATACAATATATCTTTAAACTACGATAAAATTTAGGGTACAACGGTCAAGAAAAGTAATTTTAACTTATTATATTGGAATTTTAAAAATTTCATGTACCCTTCCCGTAAATTGTTGAAGTTGAAGCGCTTTTAAGAGAATTTTTCATGTGAATTTTTTTTTTTTTTTTTGAAAAAGGAAATCTTGCAACGGCGAAATTTTGTTCAATTTTTTATTAATTACTTTTCCTCCCATATATTACAAATTTTTCTTCCCATATAGTGGTGTAGTTGTATCTGGACACGTCCAGCTGTAACAAAGGACTTTTCTTTTCCCAAAAATATTTCCTAATCAGGGTAGTGTGTAATATAAAAAGTCTGATCGATATTTTTTTTTAAAAGAAATTTAATTAAAAAATCTGATTGGTTAATTATTCATAAATAAATAGAGATCCTGAAGACCTAGTTGGATCAATTCATTATAAATAGAGAAGAAGATCTTTAAGCCCTAACTTTGTACATGTAGGAGAAAATCTTTGCCGTCAGACCGTTGTAAGGACTGGTCATTTAGAACCACGGTTCGGGTCGAACCGATGATCCGAACCGAACCGAAACGATTTGAAACTGATCCGAAATTTTACTTTCGGTTTGGATTAATAATTTAAAATATGAAATGGTTCGGATCGGTTCGGGTCAAGTGAATATCCAAATTGAACCGAAATAACCCAAGCAAAAAAAATTAAACAATAATTTAACTAGTACCGCCGTTGACTACCACCAGCCGCCGTCGATTAAAATTTCCAGCGACAATTCCAGCAATGTCGCCGGAAAATTGAATTTTTCCGATGACCGGTGACCGGCGCCGATGTGATGACATCATCATTGCTTTTGATGACATCATTATGAAATAAAACGATTCATTTTGGGTCAATTCGGTTCAGACCGAAAGTTTGACCCGAACTGATCCGAACTGAACTATTAGTGATCCAAAAGAAAATCGCCCCGTTTCCGAACCGATCCAAAATAATGATTCAGTCCGATTCAATTCGGTTCGGGTCGGTTTTCTTGAACTGAACAGCTTGTCACCGTATCTCAGCAAGTAAGCACTCTTTTTTGTCCATCAGAATTAATTCGCTTAGACCAATAGGAATATTTGATGATGTCCGTTAATTTGACGTATCTCACTGATTATGGTTTGCATAAAATTTGGTGTTTCCTTTTGTAATTTTTGACTGACTTCTCCTAATTTGTTGTTTATTTTTTTGCTTCAACAGAAGATACAGAGACATGGCTGTAAATAAATTGAAGGCTTTTTTTGGGGGCGTTTGTTTGGCGGTCGTGATGCTTACCCTCGTAGCCATCATGACGATGAATATTAGGGAAGACCTTGACAAACAGAAATCTCGACGACACCAAAAAGGGTACCACATTACAATTACAAAAATATGACGCATCCACGGCACAAATGTCTCGAGAATCCAGATTCTCTTTAGTTGCATTCTTTTCAACTACATAATCTAATGCTAGCTCTTTATTGTAATAATATCAGAGTCTCTATCTAGTATATCCGGGGCACCATACTCCCCTTCCTATTTTTTACACTATTAGTCTTTACTATTCTTTTTTTTCCACTTTTCTAAATAACATCCTATAATTTATAGGTTTAGTCCTTTTGATTTTTTTGCTCTCTCCTTTAAAAAACATCTCTAATAATTAAACGATCATATCTCATGATCCGTAAAAAATTAGAGAACGTGTTATATATGAATTTTATTGTACTCGTCGAGATCTATCCAACAAGATCTATGTCGAATATTTTTGTTGAGTTTAAAAATGACTAAATTTCGATGGGCAGAATAAGATGGATATCTAGTTTAGAAATATGGATAACCAGTTTAGTTTAGATTAAGATTCTTGTATTGCATATATCTCTTGATCCGTAAAGAATTAGAATACGAATTATACAGGAAATTTAT